GCAGAAGATAATTCATTGCTCGGCAGTCTAATTTATTGTATTTGAAACAGAGTATCTAATATACCTGCTATATAATAGTACACTGTCAATTATTAAAACAAATAACTAAATAAACAAAAAAATAATGGACCTCTTTACCCAAGACTGTGGGTTTTTACTGTTGAGCACTAATTGATTCTGCTCGGGTATACAGGCGAGGTGGGGTGAATGCTTTCAAATATAAAAGGCCCTTTGTATTGATCACTTCGTGTTAGATAAGGGCGCTTTTATTAAATTTATAGGAGAAGTAAAACCCTGTTCATTCTTTTCCTGCTGTAAATGATTGCCAGCTAACTGACGATTACCAGCTAGCTGACGATTGCCAGCTACCCCCCCCCCCTCCCCCCAAAAATGTCTTTTTTTGAGGAATGATCACGCCCAAGGCTCCCCTGTAGTTTTTTCTTCATTGCTCGCCCCGCAGTAGGTCCCTATTTTCTTTCGTTTTTACGTCAACAACAACAACAACACCAATAATGATTGGAAATGCATAACAAAAAGAAGAGACTGGGGCTGTAGTCTGATTTCAAGAAAGGAAGACAATTTCGGGACAGTTTAAAATAATGCTGGGAAATGGAAATTCAAATGATACCGTTTTAAAACCAGTAATTAGATATGGTTTTAGGACAAGAAGCAGAAGATAATTCATTGCTCGGCAGTCTAATTGATTGTATTTGAAACAGAGTATCTCATATACCTGATATATAATAGTACACTGTCAATTATTAAAACAAATAACTAAATAAACAAAGAAATAATGGACCTCTTTACCCAAGACTGTGGGTCTGTATCGTTGAGCACTAATTTATTCTGCTCGGGTATACAGGCGAGGTGGGGTGAATGCTTTCAAATGTAAAAGGCCCTTTGTATTGATCACTTCGTGCTAGATTAGGGCGCTTTTATTAAATTGATAGGAGAAGTAAAACCCTGTTCATGGGTGTCGATCCCGGGGGGGGGGGTGGGGGATATATCCCCCCCCCCCCAATATTTCAGGTGGGGGGGGTGGCCTGTACAATCATCCCCCCAATAATTCCCCATAACAAAAAATAAATGAAGAGAAAAATTAATGATGAGAGCCCTATGAGAGTTATTACTCGCAAGATGACCATCAATGTACATATTTTGCTATCTCATTTTCATAATACATACATATATACGAAGTAAATGAGACAACCGTATATGAGACAAAAATCAATTGAATTCTCGCTCATACGGCTTCATCAGGAATTGATGAATTTATTCAATTTGTTCAATCAACAGCATCATAAAAATGCAGTGCGCCGAATGCGAAGACGCAGCGTTAAAAAGCAACGAGCTAAATGTTAAGCGCGAAGCACAAAAGTAGCAATGTGCAATGCACATCAGACAGTCCTGGACAGTGTAAACATAGATGAACTCTGTTACGAATTCGTGATGAGATCGGAGACAAGGAGAAAGCTTCCGCGCTTCGCGCGGGAGCGGGGAAAACTGAATTCATACAAGGATTTAGAGTCGAGAACGGTACAACGATTCGTTTTCTTTCTCTAATAATTTAATGAAACGTCATGACTTTCGCGCTTCGCGCGGGAGGGGGGGGGGGAACTGAAACTGAATTTAGACAAGGATTAAGAGTCGAGAATGGTACAACGAATCGTTTTTCTTTCTTTAATAATCTAATGAAACGTCAGAGCTTCCGCGCTATGCGCGGAGGAAGGGGAACTTGATTCAAACATTAAGGATTAGGAGTCGAGAATGGTTCATCGAATCGTCTACTTTCTTTAATAATCTAATGAAATGTCAGAAAAGGAACTTTTTTCAAACAAGGATTAATAGTCGAGAACGGTACAACGAATCGTCTTCTTTCTTTAATTATCTAATGAAACGTTAGAGCTTCCGCGCTTCGCGCGTGGGGGGGGGGAAACTGAATTCAGACAAAGATTAAGAGTCGAGAATGGTACATCGAATCGTCTTCTTTCTGTAATAATCTAATGAGATGTCAGAGCTTCCGCGCTACGCGCGGAGGAAAGGAAACTTAATTTAAACAAGGATCAAGAGTCGAGAACGGTCCAACGAATCGTCTTCTTTCTCTATTAATTTAACGGAACGTCAAAGCTTCCGCGCTTCGCGGGGGAGGGGGAATACTCCACCTCCCTGCACCCAACCCCTGGGAGCGCGCTTCGCGTGCTCACTACCGCCCCCTAAAATGAAATCCTGGCTTCGCGCTTGGGGAGGGGGTGTAACCTGCCACACGCTTCTACCTCTTGGTTGCTCTGATCCATTGCCGAAAATATTTTGGCACCTATCATCCCCCCCCCCCAACCACGAATACAAATCGACACCCTTGACCCTGTTCATTACTTTCATGCTGTAAATGAGTTGTTTACAGGCTGGAAAAGGATAATACGGGACAGTAGAGAGTGAATAAAACAAGGAAATTAAAATTGAACATGTAAAAAACGTTATAAACCTGGCAATAAGAGGCTCTTGAATCCAGTTTTAAAATGGACATGGCTTTGTGGCTAAAGCTACCGGCCGCAGATTACGCTGACGTAGCTGACGACTGGCACAGCTGCGCCAGTCCACAGGCACCCCACCCAAAAAGGGCTCTTTTGAGGAATGACCACTGGCTAATGGCCAAGGGTCCCCGATAGTTTTTGTGTACACCCCCCCTGCAATTGGTCCTTTTTGAAAATGTTTTTTGAGGAATCCTTTCCCTTACATCAACAACAACAACAATAATTATTAACTCCAAAATTTGAATAAATGTTCATTTTCTAATATCTTGCTTTTCCGGCAAAATATTTAAATTAATTGTAAACATTATGGGGATTGATATTCTCAGACTTTATTGGATTTTCTTTCCGTTTCGTTCTCTCTCTTCTCTTTTCTTTCTGGTTCTCCTTTTTTCTCCCCCCCCCCCCTCCCCCCTCCCCCCTCCGATCCCTCCCCCTCTCTGTCTCTCTCTGTCTCTCGCTTCTCAGACTCTCACTGTCTGTATGTCTGTCTCCCCGTCTTTGCCCTCTACTTCTCCCTCTCGACCGATCTCTCTGGCATTGTTTCGCTCGAAACTACAACATTTATATACAATTTGAAGTACTTACAAAAATGCGGGGAAAACCCGACATTATCTTTTGTCAATTATAAACAAAACAATTCAAAATCGTTACAAATTCTAATTCTACTTTCACGTATTGTCATGAAAAGGTTAGTAGACCATATGGGTTCAGCTATAGGGGGCACATGCCAGGGGCGGATCCAGCCGGCGGCGAGGGAGGGGTCCGAGAAAATGTTTAGCGGCGACTTAGCCGGCCAACCGAATAAGCTGGGGGGGGGGGTGTATTGAGCATTTTCTTTTTGGAGTTCGACGGCGGGGGATGTATGGAGCTCTATCTTCTTACTTAACACCCCTTCCCCTCCCTTTGAGCAAAAAAAAAAATAACGTAAATACCATCTGTTTTAAAAAACCTATTTTGGGGGGCAGGGGAGGGGGCCCGGGCTCACCCTGGATCCACCACTGGCACATGCCAAACTCCCAGACCCCTTCCCTTATCGAATGTCGAAATTGAAAGATGGGAGGGAACAACGGGAAGGAGAGAGAGAGAGAGAGAGAGAGAGAAAGAGAGAGAGAGAGAGAGAGAGGAGAAGGTAGAGAAAGAGAGAGAGAGAGAGAGAGAGAGAGAGAGAGAGGGTAGAGAAAGAGAGAGAGAGATTGAAAGGAAGAACCAAAGGGATAAATTTATTCATGGAGCCTCATCAGTATCGATGCTGTTCTTAATCCTGAAGGTCACCCTGCAATTATTACTAGCCAATCAAGTGCCAGCTAGGCTAGCTGCTAGCTCATGACATCTCGACACAATGATATGACATTCTTGCAAGATCCTAAGTATTTCATGCACCACGTATACGATCAGCATGATAGAACCCCCCCCCCCCCCCAGGCCGATCCTCCCATAACTTACTTATGCCATATGAGCATGTGACTTTATATTCTTGTAAACGAAAGTGGGAAAATGTAAAGCCGCAAAGTGCTTCCTTTTGGCTATTTCGTGTAATTTTAAAGATTAAAAAAAAAACAGAGAATCGGTTTTGATACATTCCTTTATCTTACAACTTGAAGCGTAGTCGCAACTTGAAATCAATACATTTTGGAAATATGATTAGGGTGATCATGTTATATATAATATTCTATTAACAACCAAGCGGCGTAAAAATGAATTTAATCTCGAATTAAATCAAAATGAGAGATACAGAGGAACTTTAATACATGTTAATTAGTATGTGCGAAATAAATCGAAAGGGGTTATCATTATAATAATAATAGCTAGTTCTTATATAGCGCTTTTTAGGACCGACGGCCCTCTCAAAGCGCTTTACAGATTACCCCGGTTATAGGATTCAGGCTTACCCGCACACAATGTGTGCACATTCTCCACTCCCTGGGGAGCATTCCAGCCAGGCGTATTTTTTACAAGCGCACACTTGCTAATCTAACACATTAGCTTTCGCATCCTACCGGGTACCCATTTATCATTATTATTAGGCATATATACTTCAACTATTTCAATAGTCGTATTCATCACCTATCTACATGTTCAACCTTAACACAGTCGCATTACATCTGAACATGATACAATAGGCTATTGAAATTCGTCTCGAAGTGCATGGTTTCTAAAGAGTCTTTGTGATCATGTTCATGTAGCATTATGACAAAGATCTATCTCTCTGTTGCAAATATGATTATGGTGGGGGGGGCGGGGTGTGCCACCTCCCCCTTCTTCCCCTCCTTCCCTCCTCCATCTCCCCGCAGCTCTACTTTATTATGAACAGCCGTAATTATTTGAACGAACAACATAAAGAAGAAAAAAAACAAGATCTTCCTCTTTCCCATATTTTGCAGGGATCGGCCGTCTCTAGTGTCCCTCCCTCCTGTCTGGGTCGGTCATTGTGACATGTACAGCCAATGTCGTTTCAAATCACACATTACCCTACTCGGGAGGAATGACATGGTTTGTTTTCCGATTAACCTTCAAAAGTTTGACGAACTTGGTCCAGAAATATTCCTGTTCTTCTGCGTCTTCCGTCCAAGTGAGGTATGTCCCATGGTCGCTGAGGAATAGTCTTACCAGGAACGGTAACTCCTCGTCTGGGATGTCTTCTAAGAAGATCACCACCATGTTCTCGAGTTGGTAGTCGTTGACGTGGTCCAAAGCTGTCCGGAACTTGACAAGGAACCAGTTATTCCGAACAGCATTCCTACTCACTAAAAGGATGGTTTTATAACTCTTCTCGACGACGTAATGGATGGCATCGAGATAATGCATACCGATGATGAGGTCCTCATCGCCAAAGACGTTTCTATCAAAGTCGGGAAGTCGCTCTTCCAGAGCAGGTTTGAGGTGCGCCCTCAGCCATTCGTCGTCGTCATCGTCGCACATGACGTTGAGGTCAAATGCGAACTCACTATGACCGCGGACATCCTCGATTTCGTCGTACCCCAAGACAGCAAGCTTGAGGAGGAATAGTTTATTTCTCAACGCCCATCGATTACGATAGCATATTAAGAAAAGTACGATGACACCAATACAAGCCAGAACTAGCAGGCTGATTAACATGATGTTGGGACTGCAGTATTTCTCTGGTTGGAAGGTCAGCAAGGGCTTTTGCTTCAGAGGATCTAGAGAAGCAGAAGAGCAGTATGTCTGATCAGCATGGATGACACGCACAGGGCCACTAAGCCAGTCAACCAGCCACGCAATTTCACACGAACACACGATGGGGTTATTTACCAGCTCTATAGCAGAAAGAGTGGACTTGATCACTTTGAAGGTGCTGTAGTTAAAGGTTGTCAGGTCGTTGTCAGTCAGCGTCAATGTAGTCAACAGAGGACTTTCTGTAAAGAAATCGTCAGAGATATAACTTATGTGATTATCATCAAAATAAAGTGCCAGAAGTTGTCCTAAACCTTGAAGAAGACCAGGCGAAATGTGTTTCAGATGGTTTTGTTCCAAGTGCAGTTCTTTCAAGGATCTTAAACCCGAAAACAGTCCCGTCTCAATGGATGCCAGTTCGCAGTTTTTCAGATAGAGTTTTGTTAATGAAGTTAAGTTTGAAAACACACCTCTCGGCAGACCACCGATAGGATTGTTGTTAAGGTATATAGCCCGTAAATATCCCAGTCCATGAAACAGGGATAAGTTTCTCGACGAATCCCAGAGACTATTGATAGTCACTATAGAACCTGTCAAGTCCATTAACTCGAGCAATGTTGTACTTTTAAACGTTTCTCCTGGTATAAACGAGCCATCCCCAAAGTAAGGAACTTGGTGCCAGATATTGAATGATGTCAGGAGAGGTGACCATAATGACATCACCTGAAGGTTACACCCAGGCACATCAAGAATCGCCAAGTTTCCAAGTCCGTGGAAAGATTTTATTTCCAGAGAGGAGAGATCCTCGTTATTGGACAAATCTAAGAGCGTCAAATTCCACAAACCATGGAATGAAAATGAATTTATTTCCACCAATCTATTGTCATGTAAATACAACTCATCTAAATCTATTGTCCATCTGAAGTCATTTGGGTTAATGCTGTGAATTTCATTGTACCCTAGATCGAGAACTCGTAGTTCTTTCATACCCGCGAAGTACTCTGGTTCTATTGCACGAATATCATTGCTACTCAAAATGAGCTTGTATAGGTTGGTCAAATTTGAAAACATGGAGTGATTCAGGGGATTTATCTCATTGAAAGATAGATCGAGGAAGGACAGAGGGGCATTGGAGAGTGGACTGAAGAAATTAGGTGGGATGGTTGTCAAGCCGCTTCCGATGGCTGAAAGTCCCTTGATGCCCGAGATGGCCACACCATGGAACAGCTGAGTCAACACCTCAATGGCCATTGGGAGGGCACCCACGATCAGGTTCTGAGCCTGTAGCGGCGCGATGGCTGCAGGATCGATGAACTGTATCGGGTCCGTAATGACAATGGTATCCATAGGGCACAAGATGACGAATGTCTCAGGGGTTAGTTTTGTTATTCCGTTGTAACCAAAGTTAAAATCTGGCGCTACTAGATCGCTACAAGAAGTAATTGTAATGGATGTCAGCCTGTTGTATGCCATATCGAGGCTTCGCAAGTTGGGTGACGATCTCAGAGACCCGTCTGGTACAGACGTGAAATTGCAACCATCTAATACGAGAAGTTTCAGTTGTTGAAGCCATTCAAAGGCATCACCTGATGCTAGACTCGGATTGTTGCTCAGGTCAAGGATTACCAATTTCTGAAGCGGTTTGAATGCTTCCGGTTCAATGGTGGTGATGTCATTCCTAGAAAGATCGAGGAAGAACAGGAGAGTGTATCGGATAAAGGAGCCGTTCTGAAGATTGCGGATATAATTCAGGGACAGATCAAGACGCAGTGTATCTGAGGGAAGATCGCCCGGTACGCTGGCAAGACCTTTGTTTCTGCAATAGGCCTTCTTCTCAGTCACATCATAATCACACATTCCCGAAGTGAGAGCCGATGCGACCCGAAGAGAGGCCGATTCGTTGCCGGGCGTCGTCGTCATCATCTCGTCTCGTCGGCTAATCACTTGCGGTATGAATACCAGCAATGAAAATAAAATAGTCAACGAAGCCATTCTCTTGCTTTGGAACATCAGGTGCTGTAAGAAAAAAAAAAGGAGTCACAGTTATTATAATAAATTGCATTTCCTTTGAAGCTATAGGTAAGCCATTAATAAAGGGCCGCCATCAACTGTCAAAACAGCATTAACATTGCTCACAATGATGTCACAGGGCTAAAAGCAGAAAACCGATTTTTTTTTTTTTTTTTTTTTTTTTTTTTTTTTTTTTTTTTTTTTTTTTTTTAAATAGTTTATAGCAGGTTGACTCCTGATGGACCAGATATATTAGAAAGACATAATCTGTGACAAAGTTGGCGGAGGGGGGGGGGGGACAAAGAATAGGAAATGTATGCATTTTTGAAGATTTAGAGGACCTGTATAAATTATTGGTAATGCCGGTACAACTATAATGACGTCATACACTATTTGAATCATCCAAAGTATCCCTTTTTTTTATTCGGAACATATTTCGTTTGATGGAGGGTATGTAAAGATAATTGTTCATGGAATTAAAGTTTGTTCTTAAATCATGATAACCGAACGGATGATGTCTTTAAAATAATTACAATGAAATATCATCTCTTGGTGACATCACACACGAGTACACGATTACTTCAGTAGTAATGAAAACAGTTGATTTGGCATGACTGTCCTATGCTATCAACGTGATGGGGAAAGTTCTTGGAGTGGCAATGAATCCCATTTTCACCCTCTTGCTCCTACCAGTATGCGAGTCATTCCATATTGTACAATGAAAAAGATGAAGAAAACAGGCCCAAGTGTGTCGCAAGTAGAAAAGAGGCAATGTTTATTGACGCCTCAACAGGGTGTGGTAGCTTACAAGCCCCCCCCCCCCCCCCCCCCCCCCCCCTCCCCTCCCCTCCCCCCCCCCCCCATCCCTTCGACAAGGAGAAGAGCAATAAGGGTATGATTTTAAAAAATAGGCATATAACGAAATGTTCTTACCTTCTGGTAGAAAATGGTGATCAAACTGCCTTTCCTGGCAACCAGCGTCCTTCAACTTTTGCGATGAAAGTCTCCAAGTTGATAAGCCAGACGTATATCAAAGAGGATGTAGAAAATACTACAGAGGTTTCATACTATTCTGTATCAAACTGTAATTATTGTGCGGTGAAAATGATCTAAATAAGTTGAAAAGCCAAATAGAATAAGCATGCACTTGAAGCAAAAGTAATCAAAGTTTCATACTTACTATTCTCTTTCCCAGACGTAACGCCGTTTTTTAAATCTTGAAAGAAAGTTTATATGAGCATAGAGGAATAGGCATAACTCTCTTACTTTTAAGTTTGAATAACCTTCTTAACCTCTAATTCAAGCAATGCCAAGTTTTCCTGAAATTGACTTTTAGACAAGGGAGTCAGTGGCGCATCGGAATAAAACGTACATTTAAAAGGTTTTTTAAAAACAAATATTTGATGACGCCAAAACTTTACTCTGCCTTCGAATCAGACTACTGCCAACCTGCCACACAGTACTTTCAATTTGATCATGTTTATATTAAATCTCAAAGCGATTCATCTGATTGGTGGTCCATTGTGAAGCATGAAATGTCAAGTTTATAAGTATTCTCACTGCATATGCATTTTCTTTATCAGCTTTGGTTTCTACATAACTAAAGACTGAAGGGTGGCGTATCCAGGCCTTCGCTTTAGGAGGGGCGACACATGTCTCCTTACTTTGGAGCTGTAATTCATATTGCTTATTGAAATAAAAAACTTATGTAATTGTATGCATTGTAGAGGAGGCAGGGATTACTAAACTGACTATTTGGGAAAGAGTCTGGAGAGAATATGTACATAATTATTTTGTGCTTTCCATGTGCAATCTTGACTCTCAAACGATTCCCTCAATATGCTAACTATAGCTTTATACAGAAGTGATAACACTCTTTTTCTCTGGTCTCTAATCCGTCAGGAGGGGGCAAATAGCCCCCTTTCCCCTCCTTCAAATCCGCTAGTGGCTGAAAGGCAACGAAGCAATCAAAAGTATTAAAGTGATTGGGTAACTTTGTCTCAGATTCTGAAACAAAATCCTGAATTTTTTAGCTCATGCTGCAATGATAATTATAAATCTTTAGTTTAGTCAGGAACCCCATGACATTTACAATAGCCGATCGCCTGTCCGATTATCAAGATATTTAAGACTGGAAATCGAAATTTAAAAATTCGTTTTCCTAACAGTTTTTATAGCATTACAGTCTATTGGGGGAAACGATTTTTACTTCATGAGGCACTTCAAGATCATTTTGAAGCGCAATTTTGTTTAGGGCTTTAATATCACACCATATCACAGACACTCATAACACGTTCGGCCATGCATCTCAGATTTAACATTGTTAAACGATGCCTTTAATGTGAAAAAGAGGCAAGAATCTGAAAGGGGGAAGTTCAACCTAATTTCAGGTTGAGTTCGATAAAGCATTGAAAGTAGGACATTTAGCAGAATAATCAAATTTTGAGGCTATAAAGAACGAAAATTAGGTCTGATTTAGATTTAAATACCACTAAACAAATTGGCCCGGTATCATTGAGATTCAGGATGTCATTGATCTGTAATTTCCATAACATTTTTTTCATTTCGCTTATTTCCAATAAAATAAAATAAAGTACATGGGATTGCAATGTACATGCATAGTAAAACAATGAAACTTAACAATATATTTGTAATTGGTCCACAGTGTACAACAGGCATATAAAACAGGTTGGTCATGGATGGGACTGCTGAAAAGCTGGGCTTGTAGATTGCAGCCCCCTATAACTTATAGTTGCCAAAATAGTAGGCCTATATCCATAATAAGGGAACGCACAATAACAATTGAAGGATCAACGCGATTCTGAGGCTGTTATGGTGGCCATGTACTTAGTATAGTATGATGGCATGCGAGTTAATGAGGCCAATGTATTTGACTCATGATCTTTTCTTTTTAAACGACCTATAATAATATGCTATCCATAATATATTTTAATTAGTGCCCCAAGGGAGAAAACACTAAAGACAAAAAAAATTATGATATTTTTTTACACGACGCACGAGTTGTCCTTGTCTACGTCACAATCCACTGACCTAATTGCCATCTGAGATTCGCACTTATTTATTTATCTTATATTTCAAACAATCATAATCGAAAGGGGTTGGATTGCCTTTTTAGTATACACTGTCCATTCTGACATTTTGTTTTTTTACCCGTTTTTTTTTAATAGCGAATTTCTAATAAAATCAATCAAATTCGGTTACGAGATTACAATATTCCTTTAATAGTAACATTGTAAAATATAATAAAAACATTCAAGTGGATATGACATAACATTCAATTTGATATTTCAACATGAGATAATCACGATGATTGTCATCATGAAAGCATACTTGAAGATAAGCTCGAATGATTATGGAATAGCGCCATCTACGCCATGTATTCAATGTCAGTTCGACATAGTCTGGTGAAGGTAGACTTTTTTTTGAAAAATGAAACTTCACCAATTCACAAATGATAAACCAACTCTAAATCCATCCAACCATAGGCGCCGGAAGTGGGGTGGCAGGGGGGCAGTTGCCCCCCCCCCCCCAGTCAAAAAAAAGAGGGGGGGGGCAAAACGCATTTTTGCCCTCCCAAAACGCCCCCCCCCCCCTCCCCCCAAAAAAAAAGCAGTAAAGGAGTAAAGAAGGTTGTATTTTTAACCCAAAAGTACATAACAATAATAAAAAACAGAATTAAATCACATATAAAATTCCGTTCAAAAAAAAGGAAAGTTAACAGGAATTAAATTTCCTATAAATTGCGCATGCCACCTATATTTATCAATTGAGGTTTTTATAATACCGATATGTGCATATCGTGGACATATAGTGAGAGAATGGGAAACTGAGCGTGTCTGTTTTTTGTTATAGGGGTGAGAAGACATGAGCCCCTGAACGCTGGCGTACTGATGGGGAGGGGGGGGGGGTATTTCTTATTCGATTCCAGTGATTTACAAATGTTGCTGAAATGACATGAATTTCCAGTATTTTTTCTCAATTTTTGTGTAAGTCATACCTTTTTATGCGTTTGTTCGAAAATTAGAAATTCCCAAATTTACAGTCGGGCGAAAAATATGCATGGTCTGCAAAACCGCTGGGCTCGGGGGCTCGAGCCCTCTCACTTTTTGAAAAAGTATGATACAGAGAAAAAGAAAGAAAGAGAGAGAGAAAAATTAAGTGACCTGCCAATGTCACAAATGAAGTATAAAAAAATGCTCATCTGACCGTAATTAAAACTTGAAACCCCAGAGCTTACGGGGGCTCTGCCCCCGGACTCCAACAAGGGCCCTAAGGCGGTCACCTGAATGCTCATCTGACCAGAATACCTAAAAACCACGAGCTTTCAGGGGCACTGCCCCCTGGACCCCACCAAGGGCCCTAAGGCGGTCCCCTGGATGCTCATTTGACCGTAATTAAATACCTAAAACCCCTGAGCTTCCGGGGGCTCTGCTCCTTGGACTCTCCGCCAATTAGTGACCAGCAAGCGTCACAAATAAGGTATCTAAATATGCTTATCTGACCGTAATTTAATGCCTAAAAACCGTGAGCTTCCGGGGGCTCAGCCCCTTGACCCCCTGCCGAGGCTCAGGCCCTGAACCCCAAGCCAATATACGCTCTACCTGATCGTTAATAAACCACTTTGAAAAACGTTCCGCAGGGCCTGCATGTAACGTGTAAGAGTGGTGGTAATGCAGATTTTTCTTCTGCCCCCCTTCCAAACTTTTTGGCTCATTACATCACTGCCCCTGGAAGGTGAGCCCCCTGGAATGTTTGCCACCCCAATCCCAAACTGCTTCCGGCGCCTGCATCCAACCAATGCTGTGATTATCTCAAGATGAGTTAGATATTATTTATTCATCAGCTAGATCTCATGTAAGCTTATTATTCTAATATGCCTGTTGTTCACTGTGGACCAATTACAAATATATATTGTTAAGTTTCATTGTTTTATATCTCCATGGTTTTACTATGTACAATGCAATCCCATGTACTTTGTTGGAAATGGAAATAAACGAAATGAATGAATGAATGAAAGTCCAGTAGTTCAGACCTTAATTACACAATGGCTGACAACTTGACGAGGGGTGGTACCAGCAAACTATTTGTGAGACTTGTGAAAGGGAAGGGGAAGTCTACAGACCGTAGTCCTACTATGCCATGAAAAGGGAATTTCCCAAATGTAACCCTACGTATTGTTGTGACCTGTGCGATTTACGAGGTCATTGATCAGTTGTTGCCATATTGGTATCAATAGCGTTTGGCTTTGTCCTTCGCACCTTGTGTCTATGGTCTTTTGTGTTATTGTTGTGTAGGTAGCGACGCATGTGGGAATACATTAGCAAGTCCCATCAGTTTCCCCAAATCTTTTATTGAAATCATACAAAATAAGTGATCCATTCAATTCCGTTATTGTTATCATCAGTGGTTATCACTTCACTCTTAACCCCTTAACTTTAAATCCCCTCTACTCCCCTCAGTCCGCCCAAATAATTACGCCACTCAATAATTTTATCAAGAATAATAATCAAGAACTTGATATTCCCCACAACGACGCAATTAGCTGGTAACCATGGTGACGACATGGATGTTGGCTTGCATCTCATGCACGGGTGGGTGTGCGATCGATAGGAGATCACCGGATAGAACCTGAAGAAAATATTCCCTCTTCTCGAATAATTTGTCGGCTAGGGGACTATAGCATTGTTCTGTGTAGATGAAGCATTCATCCATATGCCTTAGTCTGCAGGCACAGACTCTAAATTGACACTTACACATAGTTCCGCAAAGTCTAGAGCTGAGCCTAGCTCTGGCTTTGGCCGGCCAGCCTCTGTCAATGAGAGCAGCTTAAGTACAGAGTCTATGGGGTGCACTAGACCGTATATTCGGCATAGTCTCGGTTCAGACACTATGTTACACACTACGACCGACAAGGCCAGGGCATGGGCCTGCGATTTTGTGCTTCCCTGCAAATGAGGGAAATCAATATTTAATACTTAATCAATATTTTCCTATTGACATTAATGTTGAACTAGGTTAATGATATATGTTTATTTTGCAAACGAGTATTATTTTTGCCACGTCTATTATTGCTGTGTCATATCTACTATAGAATTTTATTTAACTGTTCTGTATAAACGTTTTGCTTTTTGATGTAAATATGTTCATGTTTATTCAGGGCACCATGGAAGACCACTACTTATTGGTGAATGGGCTACCGTGACAAAAGATTAGAAATAAATAGATAAATGAATAAATAAATGAGGTTCATCTCGAATAATCGCACAGACTTCCGACAGATCAATTAAAGGGGTAAAATTTTTCAATACCCGTTTTGGTGATACATACCCTGGTTGAAGGTACCTATGCATTATGCAATCAGGGAAAAACAAAACCCTTGTTGACACTACAGAAAAAAAAACACCCTTTCGTGTCCGATGTTTGGGTTTCGCAATACACATTCCAATGAGTGACGGACGTTCCTAAAATTAACATAACTTGATTTTTCGGTTGATCTTTGAGACCATGTTTGAGGGAAGTTGTTCTAAAATCCTTTTCTTGGAATGTAGATAGCCCTTAATTTTCAAAGAGTTTGTCGACTGATTATACACTTATTGTGAGGTCGACAGCAATGGAAATATTACGAGTACAGACGCATGTTTGCCAAGAAGTTTCATATCATATGGGTGACAAGTTGTGAAGATTGATAGGCCTAATTGGTTTGACGATGTGTATCTGAAATCGTGATAAGTCGGAACGATTAACGAAAGGATTATAATTATATAATGAGAATAAAAGGTCAGTGGAAGAAAAACAACATAAGGCTTAAAACAAAGAGTGGTAAACGCGTGTATTTTGATCAAACAGATTAAAATTTCTGCTATCTCACACTACCTAATTATCATTCAGCCATTCCGCCGATTTTAATGTCTTTACGGGGAAAATCATCAGAAACTCCCGCTCACTGTGTTCTGGCTTCATTTTCTTTACCATTACGTCATGCTTAACGCAAAGGGAAATTCCCTTCTCGTTCCCGTCTGAGCACCTATCTGCAGAACTAACCAATCAGCGATTAGAATCCCCAAATCACTGGACACAACTCATGCATAATTCATAACTGCTCTTGTTCACTTATAGTACGATACCATTACACAAGTGAAGTAGGCACGCCAAATTTCGACCTCCCTCTCCAACGATTTCCTTGGAATTTGATTCTATTTTCGTCGACGTGGTGACGCAAACATGCCATCAATTGGTGGCATTGATAATTCTCGGACCAAAGATCGTGGTTTGGAAGACGTTACTAGTCTAATTTCTGTGGATATAGGTGGAACAAATTCGTCGTCGACATTGAAATCAACAGCCATCAAGACGGCATTGCAAGGTACGTTATATAAATTGTGTACATGTAGTGATGATGTACTGTTTCTGTATTGCTTGTACACTGTGTGGATGTGCACTGAAAAGCTGTTTTGTTGACGCATGTACATGTATAAATGTGTGTGATAGAGAATGCCTGTTGTTGGTACCGGTATATATATTTATGCTGTAACAGATTGAAAATGCTGTTGTGTCATTTTCAACAAAAGATAACTAATGAGTAATGACATGTTTGGATTGTAAATGCACTTCAAAGTTCAAAGTTCAGAGCCTCAAGTTTCAAAATGAGGTGAAATATTACTAGTCTACCGGTAGTCTGGAGTAGAATTTAGAATGTACATGCACTCGCACACATCTGCAAGAATCTTCAGCAGTGAAGGAGGCAGATTATTTTGAAGAAGAAGAAGAAGAAATAAAAAATTAAGTAAGTCTAGACTATAGACCTTCATGTACATGAACACTGCATGTACAGACTAAAGTTAACAACCAAATAGAAAGTCTAGTTATTTATTTATCATCTGATCATACCGCTTGTTAATTTGATAATGTTTTTGTGTTCGTTTTGTCATAACTCAATAATGAAGGTTAGACGAGTTGGATTAGGGCCTTTGTCGAAATACATGATTTAAATGTCACTATGATTCTCAAGAAACAAACGGTAAAATCAGGAAATGTCAATATTTCACATACAGTACATGTACTTAAAGAATGGCAAAACTTGGTAAGGGTATGAATAATTTATTTTTAAACTGAATATCCATGATGTCTGTTGATTGTTTGATTTGATTACTGTCTGGATAAACCATGATTTGTGTAACAACTAGTGTACTCTGTACATGTACATCTCCATAGGCTGTATACATCATCAAGTACATGTAAGATTTGTTTGTTTTTATATCTACCGGTACACGTATACATGTACATGTACATGTATAGGTAGGAAATGTTGGTGCATGGCCCATTTGTCAAACGTTCTTTTAACCACTGACAAGATTAATATGGGGATCATTACAGTGTGAAACAGACTCACAACAAACAACAGCATGAGTAAAATTAAAACTAGACATAATAATAAATTAAATTAATTATTTAATTGGCAAAGAAATATTTATAGAGAGGTCTGTATCAAATAAATTAATAAATAAGAATTGTAATAATTGTAGTCACAGTGAGTACATGTATGAAAATAAACTGGTCAAATTAATAATTGATTAATTAATTAATGAATGGCAGAAAGAGAGAAAGGAACAGAAATAAGGGATAAAAGAAAGAAAGACGATATTATACAACAATTCCTATCAATACATTGTGTAGGAAACAACAAATGTTTAACTTGTATCATTTTAGATTCTTTTCTTTTTAAAAAAATACTCACCATCAGGCTTGAAAAAGCTTAATTTTCTCTAATAATCTATAGCTCAAAGTCTGTACTTTTGTTTTTGTTTGTTTATTTTATTTTATGGCAGGAAATAGTAATCAAAGTCAAAGTAACAGGATTCTTTGTATTTGTTAAGAAACTAACCGATGCAAACTCCTTCTTTTATGATGAAATAACTTATTCATCAATCAGGATTTCATCATTATTTCTTTAACAAAAGTGACATAACATGTTATGACCTAGAAAATTTCCAGAGAGGAACATCAATAAGTAAGACAAAATTCATAAATGATTGTTTAGGAGGGCATTAGAGTGAGAAAAGATAGATATTTTGAAGACATTCAGGCTCAATTTTTATATTCATTTATTGAATACATTAAATACCAAAGCTTCTGGAAGAAAGCCGTCTCCAGCTGCCAAGCTTCCAGGTCTAACTTCAAGGGGGGGGGGGGGGATGTCCCAGCTTCCGGGTCTTGCACCATAGTCATTTTACATCTGTATCTTGCTTGCTGGGTCATATCAGGATTGTCATAATTGAATTCATTTCTTTTCTCTTTGTTGGTACTTTATACTGTTTACAGTACAGGTGTACATGTACATGTACATGGAATAAAACATGAGCTCTCTAACATGTACAGGGTATTCTGAAAACATGTCTCTAAACAGCCAATATAATGTATAGGAAGATGATTCATAGACCATTGTAGGTGTTCCTGCCTGGTAGGGAAATGGCGGTTATTGAGTTTAGCCCCGACAGAAAACAAAAACAGGAACTCCCCCGTCGACATCGAGGAGGAGACCCCAGTTTCACACTCGATGTTTGATCGTCATTTTGGGAGATCCAGTAGACAAAGCCTTGCAGTGACTTGTGTGTGAACTGTGTACTCTCGTAAAGTGTACCGATCACCACAATTTGACTTCAAAATATGGGCTTTAAAGATAAAGACCAATTATGGTCATGCGATTGCGTTGTGAAACAAATGTTGTGGAATCGATCAGAAAAGGTTGATCATCTACATGTAGCATATACAGTGTAAGTATTGGAGTGTACTGCAAGGTTCTGGAATCATCAAAATGATAAGAAATTTGGCCCAGTCTTGGTAAAGTTACAAGCACTGTACACAGAAAGATATGGGACTACGCACACGTGCGTTTATCTCTCACAGTCCAATAGATAAACTAATTTACCATTAGTAGGCGGTTTCCCGGCAAATTTTTTATCATCATGTATTAGTCAAAACATATTCTTTCACATGATGAGAGCTTCCATTTCATTTTTTGAAATTGGGGCGTTTCCAATACTGGTCTTTACCTTAATATACAGGTACTATGCCGGATGTCCCATTTGCAGCCAACATCAAATTCTGTAGAACTACAGTATGCAGGAATGATGATTATGTCACGTATCCTATCTATAAAATTTAAACGTAATTAGCAGTGTCCTGATATTCAAATTATGCAAGGAAACCAGTTTACTTTCTAGACTAAGACTTTACTGTCGGACACGTATTGAGTGAGTGAGTGACTGACTTTTCTTTCTTTCTTTGGTAATAACATGTACATGTACATGTACATTTACATGTACAGTACATAAAATGAGCTGTAAAGGGTACATGAGCATTTGTCTACATCAATAACCCACTTCTTGTAATCATATTTTAAATATGACATGTAACAGCTTAAAAATGTGGACCACATTTTTCTGTCAAATGTTTGTGTGGCTCCTTTTCTGTGTACAGTGCTTGTTACTGTAACCAAGACTGGGCCGAATTTCTTATCATTTTGATGATTTCAGATCAACTTTTTCTGATCGATTCCACACCGTTTCTTTCACAATGCAATAGCCTGACCAGAACTCAACTTTATCTTTAACTGTGGGTTTTTTTGTGGCAGTTAGGTTTACTGTGCCATGAATGTGAACCAGCCTTACGACATGCATGTTTTGACATGTTTTTGTTTTGTGTTTAAAAACTATAAGAAGTCTAAGATGATGTATACCAGTAATTGATTAAAATCTGTTTTAAAAAAACATCATTTTCATGCTGTCAGATTTCAAGATTTTGAAGGAAACCAGGTTTTTTAGTGATTGATCTAGATTTCTTATATGTACTGTACATGTACATTGTACATGGACTTATTTTGTTTGTACATGTAAGTTGAAAATGTTATTATGTTGAGTCTTGATGACCCAAACTGAAAGACAAAGTTGAGTTCTGATCATGCGATTGCATTGTGAAAGAAACCGGGCATGGCATCGATCAGAAAAAGTTGGTCATGTAACGCGTGTACAACAAGGTTATGTAATCATCAAATTGATAAGAAATTTGGCACTGTACACAGAAAGATACAGGACTTTACACAAACATGTGGCATACAAATGAGGCCCTCATTTTTAAGCTGATAAGTGTACATGTCATATTTCGAATATGAAGGAATTTGAAGAGCCATGCTTTTCAGGGAACATTTTTTGTCTGATGTTCTTCCACATTTGCACAATAACAATGAAAACGTTCATAAAATATTTTCAACTCTGCCCAGATCTCAATGTTCTCTTTAATTAATTAAAGTGCCTTGTCATATTTATTCTGTCATTTTTAGTGTAACTTGACTAATTGCTAAGCTCTGATATACAGTATGAAGTTCCTCTCGTCAAACAATTAAGTGGCATTATTTTTAACCCAGCCACCCGAAAAAAAGGAAGAAAAAATACTTTTCCCTTCTCCTGCCCTGGCCGCCCCTGATTATTCACACAATGAAGCAGGGTATGAAAATAAACAATGAGGGATTCCAACTTGAGTTGACTTGCCTGTGGTATTTTCCCTTTTTCTCTTTTTTTTTAAATATGATTGAATAGCAGAGAGAAAACTGTGAACTGGATTTCCCCTTCCATTTCCTTCCTCCCATCATAAAGGGACACTGCAGTTTACTGATTGTCTGTGTTCATTCTACCATGGCCATCGATTACCCATGCAGTGCTTCTTGTAAACTTATTTCCCCTTTTGTAATGTACTATAGGTAGGTACATGTACATGTACGTTAGGGGAACAAGGTTTGAAGTCACATGTGTTTATGCAAGTGTTGCTGTTATGCATGACTTGTATTCAAAATCCTTATTAGGGGTTCTCCCTGCTAAGCCCCGCTTAATTTACATTTTACATGCATGTAATGTACACTGTACAGTAAAACCAAGGGAAACAGGAAAACAGGCCATCATAGGCAAGCTAGCCTTTCTAGACAGGTTCTACAACACAGTAGATTTCTTTCTAGAGAGAGACATTAGGTGGCCACTATAGACAGGTGGTCTTTGTAGGGAGGTGGCTGGATGATCCCATATTTTTAACATTCTGCATGCTTTCATACAAATTCAATTTTGACAAGGGTTCAATTACATTGTGTAATGAGGCAAGTGCAAGCTATATAGTGCTTCACGTAGGCCTACTGTACCTACATTGTACATATACAGTGAAACCTGTCTATAAAGACCACCCAAGGGAGACAAGAAAAGTGGTCTTGATAGGCAGGTGGTCTTGATGTACAGGTTCCTTTTAGTACACGTTTCAATGAGAAACTATTTTCAAAGGGGAAAATATCGTGGTCTTTTTAGACAGTTGGTCACTACACAGGTCTGACTGTACTGTCCAAACACATTACACTGTATATTTGAGGAGTGTATGACGAAATATTTTGTAGCTACATGTATTTTAATAGACTTTTAGTTCATTAAAGGTACTATGTCCCATTTGCAGGCCAAAAAAATGAAAAAGTTAATTCCAACTGCATTTGAAAGATAATACTAATTTAGAACTTCCCTAAAAAAGGTGGGGCTTGAAAATGTCTTCAAGTGGGAAAAAAACGACTATTAGTTGTCAAATCGACTTTAGGGCTATAGAGCCCAAAAGTAATAGTCTTGATTTTCAGACAATTGTACCGAATGGTCATACGTTTTATGCTGCGCAAAGATTCAATCAGTTTAATCTTGGCCATCAAAAGAAGTAGGCTATTGATGTAGACAAATGCTCATGTACCCTTTACAACTCTTTTCATGTATGTTATTACCAAAGAAGAAAAAAGCCAGTCAGTCACTCAATAGTGTCTGACAGTGAAGTCTAGCAAGAAAACGGGTTTCCTTGCATAATTTGAATATGAGGACACTGCTAAGGTTTAAATTTCACATATAGGACATACATGACATATTCATAATTCCTGCAAAGTTCTACAGCATTTGAGGTTGGCTGCAAAAGGGACATACATGTAGTATCTTTAAAAGCATGAGTTTGGGAGTTTTAACTCAAGTAGCAATCATTTAAAATCTCGTGTTTTCAAAATTTAGCAGAACCACCTGCTAGTTTGCATCAAATACATATACATGTACATGTGAAAATGAGGAAGTTTTCACACACAAACGGAAACGGAAACGGAAACTAGAGACATGTTACATGCACATAACCACAGTCAAATATTCGTTTGTGTTTCTGTATTGTAAACAAAAATCAGCAACTGTGAACTGTACTTCTACTAGACTGACTGACTGCACAACACATGACATACATGTACATACATGTATATGTGCAGGCAAAAATTATTCTGTGTTAAAGTTTTACACTATTTAATTTCAACCCTTTTCATTTTATGGAATTCAAATTTCTGTATTATTATGGACACTGTAGCTTGAAGCTCTAATCTGAAACATGCGATACACTAAATCTAATGTAAAACCAGGGACGTGATAGAGAAGGACTGGAATCAAGCCGCTCTCCTTTGACCCCGTGCTCCACGCCGCTGAAAAGTTATGCGCTAATCTGCAACTGTTGACCAGGTGGTGAGATAAAAAAGCGCGTGAAATTTCAGGACTTAGAATTCCTACATCAGAAACTGATATCACAGCAACTGTTCGCTGTCCCTCTCAATGATTTCTCATCCATCGTTGAATGTGTAAAGAGTAGAACAAGCAAACACAAACTTGTGTAATTTCATCCGTTTTTTAACTTCAAAAATACAAAAAAACACCCAAAAACATGCATTAGCAAACTTAATGTTATTGAAGATTGTAAATCATGGATTAAATAACAGGACATTAAAACATGCACAAATTAGCGCATTATCCTAAAATATTGAGTTTTTGTCAGGATGTAATTTTTCTTTTACCAACTCTGGCACACAAATTATAGGAAGGACGGAGTTCTAAATTTGAAAATTTGTTTGATGCCCTATTCCCAAAAACAATCCCCATATAAAGTTTTTGATTTACATGTACCGGTACACTGAAATTTTGCCGGTAATTTAATATTTTGTAATAAATGTAAAACTGGTGCCTGGCTTCCGAATGTCCCCGCACTGGAAGCGCGGTTCGGAGCATGGAACTTCAAAGCCAAGTGGAATGTTACACATCCCATTGTTACTCTTAGGAACTGACGAATGCGTTTGAATAAATTTCAAGAGTTTCGCCTCCTTTCTTTCACCTCCTTAATTGGTAAAACCCTATTACATTCCTATCACTAAACCTAATTTAAAACCCTATTACAATCAAACCCTAACCCTATTACAACCTATAACACTAAACTTAATGTAAAGCCACTTGATATGTAATCCTTATTTGAAACTCTATTGTAACCCGTCCCTAACACTAACCATGACTCCACATGTATTGTACATGTGTCTCTGATGAAATAGCGCCCTTGCAGAGCTCTTTCAGACCACCTCAAACTCTCAGTGTTTCTTTATTGAATAAGTTGTGGGCAACTGTTCTTCTAGACTGACCATGCTCTTGTACATGTACATGTACATGTACATGTACATGAAGTCTTTGCTCTTTGGACACCTGTCCTACAATATTTCATTTATAATTCTCCTAAAATGAACCTTAGTCCTATCCTTACCCCTATATCTTTGATAAAAATAATTCTAGAGCAAATGTTGCTGGAGCTTATTTCCTAACACCTTTAGACTAATTTCCTTTGGCAATACATTGATCTACATTTGGCACACTCCACCCAGGTGAAGTAAATGGGTACCTGGTAGGAATTTATTCCTTGAAACGCAGCCCGCGTAACAGCTGCACTGCTAAAGCCAGGGTAATTATGCTGCATTATTGTAGAGCGCTTAGAGGATTTTGATAAAGTAAGTGTTAGGCGCTATATAAGCAAGGATAATTATTATTATTCTTATTAGACTGTGCAATTTATTATTGTCTTTTTTGTCCTCTCTCTCTCTCTTTTTTTGGCTGTCCAGACAAACCAATCAAAGTGGAATCTACCATCATGGCACCAAACAAGAATGGCCAGGTGAATGGCGAGTGCAAGACCTCTTCTCCTGCTTCAAAAGAAGAGATCAAGCAAGATGAAAAGCCAGATGATCACCCCGCTGGGATGGAGAATGGCGCTAAGGGGAAAGAGCAGGACGGTTGTGAAGGTAATGATGTAAAGCCAAAGGAGCAAGTCAACAGAGGTCCAGAGGAGAACAGTGATGGTGATGGGGTTCCCGATGAGGATCAGATGGACAAGACAGCCGAGGTGAAGAGGAAGGAGTACAAGGAGAAACCGAGAGCCAGTTCCGTGGAGCTCCTGGGTTTGAAGAAGATGAAGCATGCCAGAATTCCCCATCAGGGCCAGCTGGACGAGAAGATATGCCAGATCTTTGAGAGTGAGATGAGACGAAGGAAGAGCTCACCGGCAACTTACCACTACATGGTGAAGACACCTAGGATACCTGAAGAGGATGCGACTGTTGACAACCTGGCCACAAAGATGACACAGATGGACGTGAGTGATGAGAAGAAAAATGCCTTCGGGAAAAGGATGGAGGAAGAGAAAGAGAGGAACCCTTTGACTTCAAAAGGTCGTTCTGATCGTCCCGGTCATGCCCAAGGGAGAACCAAACCTTACCCATCGAATCAACCTGGCATGGCTTATGTACAGCAATATTCTCCTGTACAGCCAGTATACCCTGGCTCGATGGCCTGTCCTCCTTGTCAGGCCTACATCAGCTCTTCGGGCAAGAAAGTCATGGTTCCTGGTATGCCGTCTGAGCAGCAGATCAAACTTTCAGATGGACGTACCATGCAGAACCTTTACGCGAACCAGCCCGTTGTCTCCAAGAAAGACCCAGAGGAATCCTGCTGGCCTCCATCTCCAACAGACAGCTCCTACCCTAGTTCTCCAGGTAGTGTGTCTTCTCTCAGTCCTGCTCATACGATGCAGCAGACACCATCGCCGGCCTACTCCCCAGCCTACTCGCCCGCCTACTCACCAGCGCAGACTCAGCCGTCCCCGCAGTCCATGATGTCACCAGGGGATGGCTACCATGGTATGTCCACCTCGCCTAACTCACCCCACTCCCCGGAGATGATGGTCATGATCAATTCCCCTCCCAGTGTCCAGAGCGAGGACTCCGGAATCTGCTCACCACCTCACAACGTCTACAGCTGCACATCGCCTTCAGGAACCAACAGTGGTATGGTCATCGACAACAGCCATCGCCCCTATGTGGAGAATCCGATTCCTGTAGAGAACATGCAGTACATCCAGAACCGGACACAACACCAGCAACACCAGCAACACCAGCAACACCAGCAACAGCAGCAACAACAGCCCTCCCAGGAAGAAGTGGCACAACAGAGCATTAAGCATATCAAAGATCAGCTCATGGACTCATCTCAAGAGTTTGAGCGGAAAACTTACATCCAGCCCGTTAATGCCAGGTACGTCCAGCAGTACCCTGTGAACCAGAATCAAGGGATGGTGAGGCAGCCACCTGTTTATCCAGTACCGAACCAGATGCAAGTGATCACCCCGCCACCAACCCCTCAAGACCAGAACCGCAACCTTGAGAATCTGGTCAACAATATGCCTCTGGATGTCCTGTGCTCCTTGGATGAAGAAGGAGACACGTAAGTAATACCCTTGCCTGACCTAGCGATCACTAAACCAATATCAAGTAAACCAAGAGCTTACTTGACCAATAGTTTCTTATGTTTCGTCAAGAAGGACAGCTTTAGGTGAATTAAAGTATGTTGATTGGTGTTTTTACAAATTGCTTTTACCCAGATTGTTGTGTTACTGAAACTCACACTATCTGTTTTGAGTCCCAAATGTAAGAAACAAAGCGGTGTTTGGTGAAAGGGCCCCTGATGTAGATCATCATTCATATAAGGATAATATGTAGTGATCTGAGGCCCATAACAAAAAGCTATTAAACAATAGCAGTCAATTTGAGGGATCAACAATTACTGCAAGATCTTGGACAATGTTGTTGCTAAAATACTTTGGTAGTGACTCTGACTTTAGGTATAGGTGTGCGGTACTAATATTCTTTGGCAAGACATTTATCTGCATTTGCCACACTCCACCCAGGTGAGATAAATGGGTACCTTGCAGGAGTTAATTCATTGAAATGCTAGAGTGCCATAATGGCAGCCACGCTTATTAAATTGTAAAGCGCTAGGAGTCCCATATCTGACAGACACAAGCGCTATACAAGAACCACTAATATCCTTTGGCAAGATATTTACCTGCACTTGCTACTCTCCACCCACATGTTAACTGGGTACCCAGTAGGATGCGACCGTCATTGTTGGTCAAACATTTTTTGAGCGTCAAGTAATGCCTGGCTGGAATGCTCCCTAGGGAGTCGAGATTGTGCCACAGTGTATGCGAGCAAGTATTGAATCCAATGACCGGGGTAATAGCATATCTGTCAAGCTCTTAGAGACATCATAGATGTATTAAGCGCTATATAAAAGCGGAATTATTATTATTAATCATCATTTTTTTTTATTTGTTTCATTGAACAGCGCTCTTCACATATCTATCAGCCAGGGTAATATCCCGCTTGTTCATGCCATCGTGAATCGTCTGTTGAAGAGCGGGAGGAAGGACGCCCTCAATCTCAGGGACAACATCGGACAGGTATTTGAATTAATTTCACTCTAAAGCCCCCAAAAAGCAGACACTATTGTGTTAATTGTTAAAGATAAAGTTGAGTTCTGGTCATGCGATTGCTTTGTGAAAGAAACGTTATGGAATCGATCAGAAAAGGTTGATCATCCAGCATATAAGTATTGATATATATATATACAGCAAGGTTCTGGAATCATCCAAATGATGAGAAATTTGGCCCAGTCTTGGTAAAGTTAGAAGCATTGTACACAGAGAGATGTATATGGGACTTCACGAACACGTGGTATAAAAATCTGTCCCGATTTTTATGATGTTGCATGCCATATTTAGAACATTTAAGGCATTTGAAGATCCATCCTTTTTAGGGAACCATAATCACCATAATCATCACTATAATCATCATTATCATCACTATAATCATCATCATAATAATACTAATACTCAGTTTTTATACAGCCCTTATTAGAATCACTAAGCGCATCCAAACCTAGAGTTTGTTACCCCAGCTTTAGCTGTGCTGCCATTGCGGCACTCTAGCATCATTATTATTACCATTTTATTTTTATTATACTCCCATCCATGCAGACACCTCTTCACATCTGCATCATCATCATCATCACTATAATCATCAGCATCATCATCATCATCATCATCATCATCATCATCATCAGCATCATCATTATTACTATCTTATTATTATTATACTCCCATCCTTGCAGACACCTCTTCACATCTGCATCATCATCATCATCACTATAATCATCATCATCATCATCATCATCATCACCATCATCATCATCAGCATCATCATTATTACTATTTTATTATTATTATACTCCCATCCATGCAGACACCTCTTCACATCTGCATGGTGACGAACCAGCCGGACCTGATCGTGTATCTTCTCAAGGCCGGAGCGGACCTCATGATTCCAAACAAGGAGCAGCAAACCGTGCTTCACTACGCCGCCATCAAGGGCTTCTCCTTGGCTCTGCGGGCTATCGGATACTGCGTCTGCCAGAACATGGTCGCCAACATTGAGATCGATGTGGAGGATAAGAACGGTGAGTCCATGTATCATTGCTTTGGCAAGGCATTAGTCTTCATGTGCCACACTCGACCGAGGTGAGGTAAATGGGTACCTGGCAGGAATTAAATTCCTTGAAATTTTGAGATGGACGGTGCTATAGAAATGCCTACTGTTATTATTAACGTACAGTGAAACCTGTGTATAAAGGCAAATCATGGGAGATAAGAAAAGTGGTCTTTATCTAGGCAGTTGGTCCTTATAGAGGTGTCATGGTCGAGTGGATATGTCGCCAGACTGTCGATCACAAGGTTCGCGGTTTGAGTCCCGCCACGGCACTAATGTCCTTTAGCAAGACATTGATCTACATTTGCCACACTCAGCCCAGGTGATGTAAATAAGTACCTGGCAGGAACTAATTCCTTGAAATGCTAGAGCGATTTAATGTCAGCCGTGCTAAAGCCAGGGTAATAGTCGGAAGCGCCAGGAGTGTCAAGTCTGACAGACATGAGCGCTATACACACTATGAACATGACGGACAAAGAAAGAGGACAAAATATGCAGTTCCTCATTCTACCCTCAACAATTGCTGCGGTGGACAAAGGAACATCCCTTCACTGCTATTATGTAAAAAAAATAGAACAGGTGTCACATGCATATTCACCTGTTCTACACATTTTTACATAATAGCAGTGAAGGGATGTTCCTTTGTCTACCACAGCAATTGTTAAAGGGTACAATGAGGAACTGTATATTTTGTCCTCTTTCTTTGTCCGTCATGTTCATAGTGACAAGAACCCACTATTAATATTATTATTATCTCCTCCTGTTCAGGCATGTCACCGCTTCAGTGTGCCATCCAGGCCCATGGTCGTCTTGCGCGTGTCTATGACGGGACTCAGTGCATGTATGTGGATAAGATGGTGGACAGTCTGGACTCCATCAGGAACCTGCTCCATCTCGGCGCTGACCCTTCCTTCCTGGTGAGTAAATTAGTCAGTAAAATATATACCTGGCTGGAATGCTCCCCAGGGAGTGGAGAATGTGCATACATTGTGTGCGGGTGAGCCTGAATCCGATGACCAGGGTAATAATATGATTGCAGGGCCCTCAGGGAGAACAGTATGAATACTGATGAGGCTACCCTAGGTAAACAAGATATTATTCTTATTGTTATTATTATTATTATTTTTCACCATTGCCGTGCTTTTAAAGAGTACCAATCACAACAAAGTTATTTTGGTCTGTGTGTTCGGTGTTCCATGGGTGCTAAAACATTTACAAATTTTTTTGCAGTGCCGTATCTGAATGAGCAATTTTAGACAGATCTCTCGTTTTGCAATCATGTAATCACGTAACCAGTACTGAAAGCACATTTTTCCAATTAACTGCAAATCTAAGCATATCGGGAGCTCTTGTAGTGCAGTAGAATATATACTTCATGTTGGATAGTTTCTGCGCTCTATAAATGTATTATTATCATTATTACTCACCTTCATGTATAAATGCCATGTCATTGCAGGACAGGAAAAGCGGTTACACGGCGCTCCACTTCGCCGTCGAGCTTCCACCGAGTGACCGGGTAGCAGCCAACACCCACATCATCAAGATGATGCTGGAATGTCCCGGAGTCGACGCCAGGCACCTGCTGAAGATAGCAAACTATGCCGGTAACACTCCGCTTCATGTCATCGCTGGGCGCGACTTCGACGAGGACCACGTGGTGAAGGTCATCGACCACCTGATGAGCTTCGGGGCCGACATCGACCTCAAGAACTTGGAGAAGCAGTCACCGCGTGATTTGGCGATCGTGAAGAAGAAGGAGAGACCTAAGGTGAGCTTTTTCTTCTTTTTCTTCTCCTCCTTCCTCTTCTTGTTTCATGCTCTTTTGTTTCTTGTGTTGTTTTTTTTGTTTTTTTGTTTTTTTGTTGTTTTTTTTTCTTCTTCTTGTTTTCTTTTTTTTTTCTTCTTCTTTTTCTTCTTCTTGTTTTCTTCTTCTTCTTCTTCTTCTTCTTCAGCCATTAATCATTAACCATTTATCACTGAACTGTGATTCTAAAGTTGGCAGGTTGATGATTTGAATTTATACTAATAGATAAATGAATAAATAGAATGAAAAATAAATAATAAACAGAACACATCCCTAGCAGAAATTGTTGTACGGTTCCATGTAGGGTCAAGATCATGGGGACCATTTTTATAATCAGAGCATGTGAGTTTAAAAGATATTAATCACTGGTAATAATATGTTTTTATTAAATTGGCCGCATCTGAAAACTTGTCCCTTTTAGAGTGCACTAGTAATGAAGTCAGAATGCATCAAGTGTAATTTTCCTGTCCCTGAGCCGTTATTGAGACAGATTAATCATTGTGTTGTCAGTTGGGAGGAACACTCGATTTCAATAAAACGGTGTTCATATGGGAGAAAGTCAACGTTGTGATGTACGTTTCATGAACAAGTCTCAAACACAAGTCCTCACTGTGTGTCTGTTCAAGTTTCAGATCTCACAAATAATGGTGTACTTAATTTTTTTTCTTCAAATCTTTATATATCAAATATGAAATAACAAAATTACAGAGGCAACACCCCCCCCCCCCAACCCCCCCCCCCCCCCCCAGCTATTTACGGAATTATACAATGCAGCATAGATTCTCCATTTTTTGAAATGCAGAAGTTGTTCAACTGAGCCTTAAAACCCTCAATATGGGGGAATTTACTTTGATATTTCTAAACATATACATAGTACTTTGGCAACAACCATTTGTAAGTTAAGAATTCATCATCATTCGGGCAAAAAAGGTCCTATAATAACTGAGAGAGTAATAGTTGCATTTTTTTCCTATTAATAGTCTTAATGATAATTATCATTCCAAATAGGCTTCACATCGTGCATATTTGGTGTGTCTTTACACAGTATTTAGCATCTGAATTGCGAGTGTGAAAGGTTATTGTAGAAGGACCATTGAAATCGAAACACAAATTCGAATTAATGTGAACACTTCCTGAAATGAAATATAACTGGAGATCACCTGGTTCAGATAATATCCGGTTTGGCCAGATGCCAACGTTTGCCAAACGATCGTTTGGGCTGGTCCCCTATTTGTTTTTACACAGTTCTGCTGATACTGGTATGGTTCTTGTGTGAGGTGTATTTCTGCAGGGTTTCGAAAAGGTTATTGTTTAGCTAGGTTTCGAGAGCCTGTAAATTAAACAAACTCAGTGTGTGGGTGGGGAGGGGGGGGGGGGGTAACTACGGAAGTAGGAAAAGATGTACAGCTGGTAGTAAGCAGAAATATTTTACTTTAAAACTTGATGATTTATTTTATTTTAATAATTCTTTTCCTTGCCCTTTTATTTTCATTTTTTAGGGGTACAAGACTAATCAGACAATCTTGTTTGATAATGGTAGTTGTATTTCCTTGTTAGAAATTATGATGTATCATTGTGAAGTTATTTGCAGTAGATTCTTGCATGTGTCAAGGACACTTGATGAACTATTTGAATGTCAAACAAAATATTGTTCTGTCAGAATTATGTATTTAGTTGATATTCATGTTATTTTAACTTTGGGAACTTTGCATGTTACCCTATACTTACCCTATACTCACAATGATGTATTATTGTGAAGTTATTTGCAGTAGATTCTTGCATGTGTCAAGGACACTTGATGAACTATTTGAATGTCAAACAAAATATTGTTCTGTCAGAATTATGTATTTAGTTGATATTCATGTTATTTTAACTTTGGGAACTTTGTATGTTACCCTATACTTACCCTATACTCACAATGATGTATTATTGTGAAGTTATTTGCAGTAGATTATTGCATGTGTCAAGGACACTTGATGAACTATTTGAATGTCAAACAAAATATTGTTCTGTCAGAATTATGTATTTAGTTGATATTCATGTTATTTTAACTTTGGGAACTTTGCATGTTACCCTATACTAACAAGGAGATGCAACTTCACTTAACAAAGTTGTCTGTAAAGTCCTTGTACCCCCCCCCCTGCTTAGTCATCAACATTCTTGGTTAATACTATTTTTTAAGTTATATGAGGCAACATTGTTTTATGAGAAGTACCTAGTAGATAATTCTAAGTGGCACACTGTTTGAAAAGTACCAGTAGATAATTCTAAGTGGCACACAGATTGTAATTGGACTTTGTAACCAGTAATGCGAAACACTTCAATGCATGCACTGTATTTACATAATTTGTATTTGTTATGTTTGCAGAACTGAGTACTTCATATTTTCATGTCTTTCGACATGTGTACACTTCCTGAACAATGCCGCATAGATACGTCCATTAATGTAGGGTACAGAATTAAGAAACAGTTCAAGTTAGAATGAGTAATTACTTTTGAAGTTTAATGAAATTCTATTCACCTCTCTTCAAATTTTCTGTCCTTAATTAAAAGTAATTTTTTTTACTTTTGTACTCCAGGGCAGTTTCTAATGATCAAATTTTCCTCAATGTTGTCCTCTACTTTCCAGGTTCTTCTTGAAAAATTAAACCATTTCCTTTTTTATTTGTACTTCATGACAATATCTAAAGCTCTGAGGTTTCTTCCTATTTTCATTTTCTAACTGTTCAGGTTCTCCATGAAAAGTAAACTATTTCCATTTTGTATTTGTATTTCATGACAGTTTCTAAAGCTAACATTTTCTTCCCTTTTCCTCTTCTTTTTTCCCTCCTCTTTTTTCCCCTCAGGTTTTTGCAAGACTGCAAGGAGACCATCTTCAAGGAAAGTGAAGCAGCCAATCAGGAGCCTTGATACAAACAAGCCTTCACCCAACATGCAGCAGGTGACCAATCATAAGTGATGTTCAATGAGACAGTACCCTTTGTGCCCTGTGTGTAATGTATCACATGCAGAAATGGACATCTTCTTGTCTTGAAATAATTCCATGCTATAAGCATCAAAAGTAAAAAATTGTTTGATGCATGAAATTCATAAATTATTGTCCCCTTTAAAATCTAAAATTGCCCAGACTTCAGGAAATGCAAGTATATTTTTTGTCCGTCAAGAAGTCTAAAACTTTCTTGATTATAATCTTGCCTTGAAATGCATTTTGGCCGTTTGATGCATTCCTTGAATTTAAACGAGAAGCTGTCCTGTTAATGAAATCAAACAATTATCACAGAGATGTGAAAATTGTTGAAAGGATGTTTTCTTGCAATTGCAAATGGATTGGTTTATCCAAAAAGGAAGTTAGCTTTGTTTTATCTATTATGTATATTTGATCAAAGATAGTTATAAAGGTGCTGTATGCTTTGTACATTAAAAAAAATATACATGTATTATAAAAACGTTTGCAGCTTGAAAATAGATTTTTAATGAATTTTCCTCTAGGTGCAAAGATTTGAAACATCAACTTCTTTTGTAATCAAAGTAAAAAAAGAGACATCAGAAATTTAAGTTTTAAATGATTTATGGTATACGATTGCAATGCAAATATATGTCAAAATGTAAATTGCATACATGTAATGTACATAAAGTAGATGTATAGTACCAAGTATGTGTCTTTATATTGCTTCCGATGGTTGTTACGCATGGGGAAAAGAAGACTTGTTAATCCCTAGCAGCTTCACAGTATTTAAAGATCTAAGGAAATCACTTTTCTCTCCTCCAATTGGTACCAATTGTTCTTATATTAAACTCCTACATGCTTCAAAAATTATAAATGTATATGAAATGAACAAATATGACTGAAAATTACTTCATTTTATCCAAAAAAAGCCAATTTGTACATAAAAATATTATTAGTGAGTACAATTAAATTGCTTTTGTGTTCATGAAAGGCACAATTATGTACAGCATGTGTCTGCAATTTTTGTTCTTTCTGTTCATGTACAATAGAATTTGCTGTGACATTGTTTGTCGATAATATTCCACTATTTCCTTGTTTGTATAGCGTAAACAAGTGGTCAATTAGTTCTATTGATGTTTTGCCAAATAATCAGATCAAATTTAGTGACATTACATGGTATCAGCATTGCATGTAAAGGAAACAGAGTCTGTTGGGAGTCAGCGAGGCGTTACATTTATACTTTAACGCAGAGATGACATCTTATTTGTGGTCATTCATGGAGCAGAATGTTTTTAATTTGTTATATGGCTATATAGTAGAGAAATGTTGTACAGATTGCTGTCAGTGTAGAAAGACAATTACTACATCCTCTGTGCCGTCAGCGGAACGTGTTAATTTGTTTACATGGCTGTGAAATAGAGAAGTGTTGTACAGTTTGCTGTGAAAAAACAATTAAAAAAGGAAAATTATGATATTCAGATATTTGAATCATTGCGTCATGTAAAATTTACAAGCAGGTAGGTCAGTGTATGCGGAAAGATGCTACAAAATATGTAATGGTTCACATGATGACACTGTACATAGGTGCGCATTTACAATAAATTTGTTTAACCCTTTACTTACGGGAACCTGGGGGTCCCTGTGTTAAGCCTATGGGACAAATACAACTCAGTAGTTAGCGGGTTAAAGCTGACAATGCAATGTGTATGTTAATCAATGTAACATATCTTCTTATATCATCTCTTTAGATGTGTAGAAAGACAATTACTACATCCTCTTTGCCATCAGCAGCAGGTGACCATACAATGTGTATGTTAATCGATGTGACATATCTTCTTATATCGTCTCTTTAGAGCCAGTAGGGTGTTAACTCTGTGTTAAAGTATATGAGTTAACACCCTTCTGTCTCTTTAGACCCAGTAGGGTGTTAACTCTGTGTTAAAGTATATGAGTTAACACCCTTCTGGCTCCGAACAGACAATACTTCCCCTCTGCATGTAGGCCGGGCTCAAAATATCAAGACTGAAAGAAAATATGATTCCATTTCCATGTTGTATAGCTTACAGTGCTATTGCAAGTCTTTCTATATAGGCATACTTCTATATATATATATATAAATCAGATTGGCCAATTCTTTGCAATGTTTTCTGTCTGATATATGTCCTTTTTTACATTTCATGTTTAAATGAAAAATATCGTGATATGACCTCATAATGATATTTGTGATGCCAGGTAGAGCTATTTATAGTCCGTGGTCATATCAAGACATTTTAGTTTTAGGAGGAAGTCGTGTATAACAGTGTTTAATATACATGTATGTCGTATGGAATACATTGGAAGACAGAATCACCCTTAAATGAATATGAATATGACAACTCCTTATATTTTTATATTTTACTTAAGTTTTTATGTGTCTTATCAAACATCCTGTCAATCATCTGAAATACCTTTACTTCATAGACTATTAAGAGTTTCACCTATTTTTTATATGCACAAAAGTGCAATTACAATACATTAGATTTTAAATGTTTTCTGATCAAATGAAATGAATGACATGGGCCATAAATAATGGTTGTGTTGATTTACAAAACTCATCTTTTATTAGTACATTTTTTGCAGGAAATTTATATAGAATTATGTAATGGATAAAAAAATAAGCAGTCAATATCTTTTTTTTTTAATGCATCCCAAGGTACAATTCCGAAAGAGAGATATTTTAACAAATGTACCTGCAAATGTGTATTTATTTTTAGCGTCAATTGTAATTTAGCAGTCTAAGAGCATTGCGTTTGTCTAACTGCGCGTATCCATAGTTAACTTCATGCGCAATCAATGCGTCCTTGGATTGTATGCGCAAGTAGAACTATATGCCGGGTCAATATTTTTACCTATACTGCCCAGCGGTCAGTAGTGAATTTCATGCCTGCAGTGTTGACCAATCAGCAGCCTAGAATCTTCATACGGGGTATATGAATACTATACATGTACGACCAAAATATACACTGGAGAATTTAGCTTCTAGACAAATTATTTCGACATATCATGAATTAGGAGAACATGATCGCAATGTATATATAACTTGCCATGAAGTAATGTAGGTAAGAACTACCCTCTTGATATTTTTAAGATGATGTACATACTATTTTTAACAAAGAAACCTATTTGGAATCATGGATTCTTAATGGAAAAAGGTATATGTTTTAAGTTAAGTAACATTGTAAATAAACATATAGATTGAATAGATGTTTGTATTCTTCATTTTTAAGATGTCTTTTTTGTAAATAATGTTCTGCTTTGCCTTCATGATAACTTTTAATATCTAGAGGATGGATGGGGGCAGAAAATGTGAATTTTTTTATTCCAGAAGGTGCCAGAGAATAGCGACGTATATCTCTGAATGACAATATAAAAATATAGAGATTAAAAGTAGACATAGAACCATTTCATACAAAAATGAAACCCTCTTTCATAGAACATGGAACCAGATAATGCACTGATACTATAAATAAATAGTACATTATTGTATCTTTTGACAAATTGTTATCACTGTGTATGGAGAATATGTACATTTGTAACAAATGTAGATGTTGCTGTACACTGTCAGTGCCATTATAAAGTTATACTGAAAATAGAAGGCACTCTTTAAGAAACAGGTATATTTGTGATTATCACAATTTTTTACCCTGGCTGGCAAGTCGATTAATTCAGTTGAATTTTAGATATTTAATCAATTGGGGGGTAATCAAAATGATTTTATGCTTATTCAAAGAAATTGGTTAAGTTTTCCTCTTTTTTTTATTGTATGTGATACTGCGATTCAAATATTGATTCATTTTTGTCTCTAAGAGTTCTTTTAATGACTATTTAATAAGTGATAAAGTATTTATTAGACCAAATTGCCCTTCAAAATAGTTTTCTCATTTTACCCATTCAAATACAAGGAAGCAAAACAGTATGATGGGGGCATAGTCCCCCCCCCCCAGTTATACTCCCGAGAACAAAAATGCTTAAAGTTATACAGAACATGATCGAGGCAGCCCATGCACATTCCACTGTTGGTGCGTTTGTCAATTTGTGGATACATTGCTGTAAACATACGTACGCTCCCCTTTCATCTTGTAAGATATATTGATTATCATATAACACTCTTTGTGTATGCTTTCAATGTAGTCCTGTATAGTAGTACAATTGTATATGAATCATATTCAAAGTAATGACGTAAATTGCATTCCATGGTTTGTTTATTTCTCATCGTAGCTTTCCATCACTATAGTATCAAATTTATCATATATTTTTGTGATCACCGGTGAAATAAAAGGGCATAAAATGAAACCAAGTGTTTTGTAACTTTGATTTGAAAGTATGAGCGAATTGAATCGGTCATGTGGATGTCCAATATGTTGTTAAGTTTAAGTTTCATTAAATAATTCCCGATAAATTAAACCAGGAACGAGGATCATAACTATTTCAAGTGGGTCGTACTTCAGATAAAGATAATTCCCCCAGATGCATAGTCAGTGTATTTTTAAGTTTTAATTGAAAAGGGAAGAGGTGACCAGAGCTGGCTGGGGGAGAGAAATATATAAGATACTTAGAATTATCTTGTTAAAATCGGAGCTTCTCATTAAATCTAAGAACATAATTAATGGCAATGAAACAGAAACTGATCCAAACAATTATATTCTAGTAGTACATGCAAATGCAAGTGGCACTTTAATGATATCATACATGTATATCCCATACAGGTATTAGTAGTATGCTAATAATGACAGAACAGTTTCCATTTATCAAATTTAATGCATAAATCTTTGTTGAGTGCCTCGTTACAAATTATTTCATTCACCTGGTGCGAATAATTGTATTTCAATAGTCAGATTGCAAATTGTATACATTACGTGGTGTTAGGTAGGGCAAGCAATAATGTTTGTCCTACCTAGCAACAACTTATTAATGCAATTTGAATTCTGATTATATTACGAAAATGGCCCTTTGCTATTTTGTGAGATGATACATGCGAACCTGCCATGTATTTGTACTGCACAGAATTTTATTCCACGGTGAAAATAACCCTTAAATCAAATTCCCCTTTGGTTCATAATAAAATGTGTGAATGTTTTAGAGAGGAACAAAATAGAAATAGAGAGAGAGGAAGTCAGAGGGAGGGAGAGAGAGAGAGAGTAAGAGATAAATAGGGAGAGACAGAGAGAGAAGGGAGGGAGTAGATATGATCGAAAGGGAAATATTTACCTTTTATAATTAATAGAGTTGTGAATGACGCGGACACGCTTTAAGGATCCCAAGGTTAATTGTAGTTTCATGTTGTTGTCCGGGATAATTAAACAGGAACTGAAACTCAATATTTGGGGAAAAATGTGTATTCATTCAAAATTATTATCCCCTAATCAAGGCTGTGGCTCAGTGGCGTAAACTGGGGGGGGGGGGACTGGTGTCATGGGGGTGGGGGCATTAGAATGTCGAGTGAGTAGATGTGCCACCTGGGGGTGAAAGAAAATAAAAACGGGGACAGGTGGAAAGAAAGTGGGAAGTTTAGAGAGGGAAGATGCATGTCAAACTTAGTCAAGCCAAATGGCTGGGAAGTGCAAGGAGAAACAAAGAAACTGAGAGACTGTGAGCTGGAGGGGAGAGAGGGGGATGAAAGATAAAGAGAGAGAGAGAGAGAAGATTAAAGAGGAGATACGAAAGGCATTGAAAGAGATGATGGGGTGAGAACAGAGATAGAAAGAAAAGGGTATATTTGGTGAGAAAACAATACAAACGATACAAACACTGCATAATACATAAATAGACATCACTATACGTCTAATTAACAAACACGTCAGCTTTCTGATCACTTGATTAAAATCTTAGCAATCAGTTAGGATGACTTGTCCAGCGTCGGGGCGGGGCGGTTGGCTTGTTATTACCATTTTCTAAACATTCCCCATCCCCAAATATTGAGTGGGGGCTTTTTTTTTTGTAATAGTGCAGTATACATCCTGTCACTGATACACTATTCAAACAGGATAGGCACCACAGAATTTAAGAACTTGGTTGAATCATGAAACGGAGAGAAGAAAGGGAAGAACCCCTCATAAATGAAGGAAATATCCTATAACATTTGATCAGAAAGATCAAAGAATAATTTCCTAATTCGATATCTGTTTTGGGAAAGGAAAATTTGAATCTTTTAGAAATATGGGGGGGGGGGGGGGGGCAACTCGTCACTCATGCATGCACACATACCGAAGTACTCAAAATGACCCTGCATGTTTATTCACATATTTCTTAATTTCTTTCTTTCTTTCTCTTGCTTTTTTGTTCTTTCTTTCTCCCTTTCTTTCTTCCTCTCTTTCTTTCTTTGATTCTTTCTTTCTTTGATTCTTTCTTTCTTATTCCCTTTTCTTATTTCCTTCTTTTTAATTCACAGATGTATACAACACACGCATGACATCACAGCCATTTACAATATCATGAAAGAGATGTGACAAAGGTCACATATTACAATGTATTAAATGAGACATACACAACATTCAATACATCAAAGTACTTCCTGAATATACAGCTTTGGCTTTATTTCTCATTGTTTGATCACACTTACAAAAATAGGATTCATCTTAAAATATAATCTTTAATAAGGCAGCATATGAGTTGTTGTGAAAAGTATATGCAGCAAAGTTTAGAAGATAGAAAAACTGATATCACCGGTTATAGCTTATAGGCGCTTCACTCATGTATGCTTTAGAGACAAACGCTGAACTCCATAATTTTGTGTAAAAGTAACTGTAAAATGTAATCTCTTTACATTGACATCATTCAATATTCTGTTGTCTTGTAGCCACAAACAAATGTAAAACAAATATTGAGAGATCTCTTTGTTGCTTTTATGAGTTTTACCATTTATGTAAATAGTCTAGCAAGGTATGCTAGTTTGCAGACACAAACTGTTGTTAATCACTGTTCATAACTGTGTCTGCACTGCAAGACTATGCCGTTAGCATACTGCATGGGTTCTGTACTTTAGATGCTATGGACACGCACAGCGAGAGAAGCAGGGCCTGACAGAGCTAGGCTCTACTCAAGGCTTTGGGATTTGTGGTAAAGTGTCTGTGCATGCAGACTAATGTCAAACCATTAAATACTAAGCTCAATCAAGCTTGGGATCCAGGCTATAACAAATGTGTGTTCCACCACAATCATATCATGTGCAATGGATTAATAAAGTCTAGCTTTTAAGTAGGTTTACTTTTCATTTTCACATTTAATGATTTACACAACCTTCTTTCATGTTATGAACTACCATTTCTAGGCCTAATTATTTCCATGTAAAGAAATGTTAATGTTTTGTAAAATGTATAGCGGTAATACTTTTTATTTTTGCATGGAACATGAATAAAAGCAACCAATCAACAACAAAAAATAAAAAATATAAGATTCAGCTTTGTACACATGCCAGCAGCTGAGAGATGTATTTTCACCAATATCTTGACTCAACCTTGCCAATAAAATACTGCTTTATCATCATACAAAGGGTAGCAATCACCAACACATGTGTGACTCTTGTTGAGGTTGTCACTGATAAAAGAAGACAGTTACAGTGAAAATAATTCTCATTATCATCACTGCCACAGAATTGAAAGGTGACTAAGAAAAAAAAATAGTTTTCGAATTGAAAGATGTCCAAGTCTGGGGAACCTGGGCAAGCCACGGCTGAAGGCAGAAAAAGGAAACTCACTGAAAAGGGATCTTTACTTCTCCTCTTTGAAACGACACATCTCCATCAAAGAGTGGTCCTCGTTCATCAAAAAAAGAAAGAGCTGTGGCAAGAATGGGTCAACCATCGTTCAGCAGTGGACTGGATGCTCCTAGTAGTATCAAGTTACAATTAACCGCATACCATTTACCAAACATCCTACAAATTGCCTAAGCTGCCCATTATGGGGAACTTAAATCAAAAGTTTGTAAAAATCTGCATTGGCGATGCACAGAAGCCAGACCGCATGGTTAAAACAATATAAAAAAAACAGCCGGAATAGGCTATATTATCAAGATAATACAGATCCAATTGATTGTTATTGATGGCATTGAATTGAACAAACAAGATGGATCATTTCACATTCTAACAAGAATTTTTTTGCAGAATTTCTGCTGATTATCCTGGCCAAGTTAATTCACCTCTGCAGTTGAGAGGTCGACCATCGTTGTCACTGGCATATCCCAAACATACAGATCTATAGCTCTGTAAGTTTGAGAACTGGGACCTGTTTCACAAAGCCTTTTTTCAATGACAAATGACAAAAATCAGTGACAAATCTGTTGATAACCAATCAGAAGCAAGGATTTCAGTAGCTTATAACACAAATTGTCATTTGTCATGATGACAAATTGTTTTGTGAAACGCCCCTCTGGTGTCTGGAGGCCATACAGATTCACAGCAAAGATTGTGGAGCTGAATTCTTTCATTCTGACCATGATTGGATGGTATCGACATACGAACAAACCTCACATAATTTGCTTTCAAGTAGTTAAAGATGCAGATGCTGCCGCTGCTGGTCCTCTTGATGCCGCCGCTGCTGGTCCTCTTGATGCCAAGAATTTCCTCTGGACGTCACAAGCGTTGTAGTACATGGTTGAGTCGATTCCATCTACACACCGGACGACCCTGGCATGGACGACCATGTCAGCATCCCTCTCCATCTCCGAAGGCATCTCGCCAATGAACTGAAACGTGGAGCCGATCCTGGACTGGAATGGCTCTACGAGACGGGTGTTGACTTGCAGGTGATGGGTGGAGTTGCGCTCGGAGGATGTTATGAGGGCTAGTTGCTCAATGGCATCGTACCGAGTGAGCCTGCGTGTAAATTGAAAATTAAAATGGGAATTACTTAATTGTGCACGATTGATCTTCTTTGGTTCTCGTAGAAAAATCACTTCTTGCTACCGGGTACCCTTCTTATTGTTCTTCAATGCCGTTGTTTTCTTCCCCCTCTCCATCTTTTGCTTCATTTTATTTTTCTTCTGCTATACCCCCTTGACCTTGTTTTCATTATCATTATCCCTCTCCTCTCCTTTACAACTTCTTAATTAATCAGTAACCATCAAAACAAATTCCATCTTCATCTTATCCCCCTTGTTTGTATTTTACTTTCTTCCTCCTCTTCCTTTCGTCTCTCTTCTTTTAGACTATTATTTCTCCTCTCCTCTCCTCCACTCTAGTCTTAGCTTCTCTCTCTTAACATTCACAGCATAAAATGCTGTTTCCATGGCCATTTGTCACAAAGATTGACATTTACAATGACTGACCTCCGTGAGAAAATGCGATAAATAATTAATAACAAGACACAATTTTTTGGAAACAACAGGGAACTAATAATAACATCAATGTGAGCTTATGGGACCGAAGATACATGTAACTCTTCCGACTTCTAATCAATGTTTCAAACTTAATCAGTTAATTCATTTCATTATTAATCCCTCACTCATACCAAACTCACTTTCCCATAACTCTGACAGATTTTCCAGCCATGAGAAGCGGCCCCCGCTCATGGATTTCGCTCAAACGGAGAATGTCACCGTGCGGAGGCAAATTACCCGCCATGCTTTTGTCTGACAGAGGGCTCGATCGGCCTCGGATAAAATACTACCGACCACGCCCACTCGACTCAAGTACTGGTAGGCCTACTATAACCGACAACGCCCATACATGTACGTTTTGAGAGATAATGAAAGTGAGAGCTGACTGAGCGATAATGTTACTGATGTACTTAATATAGAATATTGAAGTATTTTAATTCCGACTATGTTTATGAACAATACTGGTAGCTTTTTCATATACGACATGATCTGAGTGACTCGATCGATCTGACAAGAAAAAAAACTTTGTCAGGAATTGCCTCCGAAGCTAGGGGCACTAGCTTGATGCCCTGATGCACACTGCAGGTTTTACGCAAAATAATACAATTAATGACGATAAACATAGAAATATATGTGCTCTTCCGTTTCCAAACATAAGCAGTACGTGAGGCCATGGACCTCGGCCTAAGTTGCACTAGCTTTGACGAATAAAGACCAGGCTAAAAACGAAACCCAAAGTTAGAGCGTATCGGTGGGCTATATTTATATTATAAGTATCAAGTATCAAGTGTATTTATTTTCCAGAAATTACATGAAACAACATTATCATAGAGTATAATCATAACAGTACAATGTAGAATAAAGAAAGACGAGGAGACCTTGGTTAAAGCACAGCTTGTTAAGTTATAAACACATGTGTCATTGATCAAATACTATTTTAGTTATATTAGCAAAATAATTGTTTTGTTTCTGTTTTGCTTTTCATTGAAAATCAATATACAAAAGCAAAAACGTAACATGAAAAAGCGGGGGGGGGGGGGGGGGGGGGGTAAGAGGACACTTTTTTTTTTGGTCCCGAAATTTGAAAATTTGACATTTTGCTCCATTGGGGGGGGGGGGGTAGGGTCAGCTTTTTTAGGTCAGCCATGGAAATATTTATTTATAGCCTTTGTAAATTTCATATTTGTTCTGTATTTCATAACTCAAGAAAAAAAGGTGGCGTGGGTTGAATAAGGCCCTTGTTGAATTAGGGCCTTTGTTGTATACTTTTAGATGTAAGCTCTAAAGAATTATTTATTGAGACAAATCAATTTTTCAAATAATTGTGAACTATATGTATTCCCAAACTCGACAAAGGTATGAATAATCGAGTTTTTAACCGTAGTCAGAGAAGTGTTCTAAAAGGAAGGGAACATGGTAGTCTCCTAATGGGAAGTGTCATCTCATCTTATTCTCTACGCCCCCCCCTCTCTCTCTCTCTATTTCACTTCTCGTTAAAGTATATCCACTTTAATTTTTTTCTCACTCTCAACCTCAATCTCTTGGCATTCCATATTTATGTTTCTCCAAGTCCCCTTTCCAACCCTTATCCTTCAACTTCCCCCTTCTCTCTCTCTCTCTCCCGCCCCCCCCCCTCTTTCTCTCTCCCTCCCCATCCCCCTCTCTCTCCCCCCTCTCATACTCGTGTTAAATTATCACACTCACACTGAGACACGGCCATGAAACTCTTCGAAGGACTATCAAAAATAGATTTCAAATCTCTTTTTTTTTTACTGTCTTCTTGGAATTCATCTGAAGAATCACCTGAAGGTAAATTGTTTGCACAAAAACTTGGTCTTCACAAATAACAGAAACACTTGGGAGAAGAAGCAAGTAAAAAAAACAAGAAACATTAAAGGTATAGACCAGTTTTGGAAACGCCCCCCTCCCAACAAATGAAATGGAAGCTCTCATTACCAATCATGTGAAAGAACATGTTTTGACTAATACGTGATGATACAAATTTTGCCGGGAAACCACCTACTAATTGATATACACTTGTATTTGGTAAATTATCATATCTATCCGGCCTGGACAGATATAGCCTAGTCCCATATACATCTTTCTGTGTACAGTGCTTGTAACTTTACCAAGACTGGGCTAAATTTCTTATCATTTTGATGATTCCAGAACCTTGCAGTACACACCAATACTTATATGCTAGATGATCAACCTTTTCTGATCGATTCCACAACGTTTCTTTCACAATGCAATCGCATGACCAGAACTGGTTTAAACCTTTAACAGAAATAATGAAGAAAAATCAATGTGCTCAAAAAGCACTAATGATAATTGCATTCTTGAATTGTTCATAATTCCTAAAAATTAGTTTAAACAAATGAATCTCCTCATTGCCTAGCCCTCCACTACCCATTAGAGTTTACACACAGACATATAAATAAATCAGAACATTTACACCCAAACATATCAGAATGGTGCCCTATATCTGTATGAAAATGCAACAAAACAAAACAATAATCATAGCTCATATTAAAGCAAATTTTAACACATAAATCAATTAGGAAATAGTTTTGTGCAAAACATTGAACAAATCTGTGCGTCTATTAATATTCTATTTTAGTAACATTTTCACTCAAAGTGAACAGTAGTAACCACAATTCTATTCATAAATAGTATCCATAATTCCAACACACAAATTCATTTCTCACACGTACCGTGCAACATACAAAACATATATTTAAGCACTTCTTCAATCTTTTGGTCAAGTACTAGCTGTAAGCGTGGAACATTTTGAGCGACGTAATTTTGTAGCTTTATAGATGAACATGAATCCAAACGGTTTACATTTTGAAAAGCTGTAAGAGCACTAAGAAGCTATATTAAAAAAAGCCTTGAAAAACCCAGATAATTACAGATTTAAGTAGAAACATAGTTTGAGATCAATAAACTGATTGTGATAAATATTACTGGAATTTGATCTTTATATTATTACAATAGTGAGAAGGTAAGGAAGTGAATGCAGAGCAACTCTTGATTAACGGTCGCATACACGCTACAAGGCTTTTAGCAAAATTACTCATCATGTTTTGTGGTACCATACTCAAAATAAAAGAATCGGTCATGCAAAATGTTCCACCTTTACAGATTTTCTTTACCATGAAGTGTGTTCCTTGAAGTATTTCATCGTCTAGTATTTTACAAAACAGGGAAACTATAAAGTTTTTGATCCATCCTCTACCGCCAAGCACATCATCATCTTAAATATATATTTAGGGACAGCAGAAAATGTGCATATCATTATTGTAAGATCAAACTTTTGCAATGTGCAACTTTACCCGCAAGAAACTTTTTTGAATTGCACAAATTCAGAGTTTGTCAGTTGTGATTTAATTATTTCGCATCACAAAGTGTTTTTTAAATCTAAGCCAATTGAAATTCACAACTTTACATGCACATTACATTTTCTGGTTTTACAGTAAATGTCTCCATGGTGCATTTCCAAATATGTGATGTTACCATCACAACTTCTACAATTCATTCAATTCATACATTGTACATATAGTACCAAGTTTCAAAGGTACCTCTTCTCTCAGGATTGCAACTACATCTGTGATACCTCAAGGGTGTGTATTAGGACCAGTATTATACAACATAAGCGTTACTTCATATGAACTGTCATAACTACATCCAGAACACCTCAAGAGACTCACAAGATTTCATTTGGACCAATAATCTTGAACATTAACAAACTGCAATAACTACATCTGGAATACCCCAAAGAAGTGTATTAGGACCCATGCTCTTCAACATACCGGTATTGGTTATTCCACACAAACTGCCATAAAAATGTTTTAGGAAACACATGAAATCTTGTACTTTGTGAACACACTTCATGATAAATCCTGATACTCTTACAAGTACATTAACTACTGCTACAAATCCCCGTTTTTATGTGAATGTTCGGCCTGGCTTTTTGCTCCTTCTGTGGTAGTAGTTTCTTCTGTAGGCGCAGCCTCTTCTTGCGTCGACTCTGTGGCCTCTGATGAAAGAACAAAAGACACAGATGAAATTAAAGTAACTCTGTAACATTGCCTCAGATTCAGAAACAAAATCCTGGATTTAGCTCATGCTGCAATCATAATTATAAACCTTTAGTTCAGTCAGGAATCCCATGACTTTTACAAGCCAATTGCCTGTCTGATTATCAAGATATTTATGATTGGAAATAGAAATATCATTTTTCGTTTTCCTAATGGTTTTTTTAACACTAAAGTCAATTGGGGTAATTGAGTATGGTAAAACCGGTCACTCAAAGATTTTTAGTTTTTTAAAGGCACTGCATGATCATTTGGAAGCGCAATTTTTTTAGGGCTTGAATATTACACCATATGACAGACACTGATAACACGAAGGGCGATGCACCTCAGATTAAACATTGTTAAGCGATGCCTTTAAAAATAACATTCCCTTTGTTGTACAAATCACTAAAACATATGTTGCTCTTAATTATGAAAGGGATTCTATGTCGCTATAATCTTATTTCAAAGTCTTCTTCAAAGTTATCTTTCGAAAAATTCAGAATTTCCCACATTCAACCCACCTTCCACGGGTGCTTCTAATTGTAAAGGCTCTTCTGGTGTTTCCTCTTCCTCCCCAGTGGGTGTGGGTTCAGTAGGCTCTTCTGGTGTTTGCTCCTCCTCCCCAGTGGGTGTGGGTTCAGTTGGCTCTTCCTGTGCCTGCTCCTCACCCCCTTCCACCTCTACTGTATCAGGAGCCTCCTCCTGTGCATTCTCAGTGGCGCCCTCTCCCTCCTCAGGGGGAGGTATAACAACTGATGGAAGGGAGGATAAATGAAAGAGCATTAAAAGATGATTATGTTCATCGACATCTGGAAAGGGGAGGGGGGGGGGCTATCACAAATGTCACATACATTTGCTGAATCTTTGCTATTTCATATCTTCCCGCTTTCCTGATTTATAACCACATGTCCTATCTTTCTTGCAATTTATTTATTATCTAATGTACATAATTATTGCAGTTTCATTAATGTTACTTAATTATTGTATCTACATTTTCATTTTTCATTATCATGTTATTGTTATACATTGTTAGTCAAGTAATTCATCCAAATTAAGCACAATGTTCATTTCATGTTTCTTGTTGATCCTTATTACATATTTAGTTTAACCATACTTTTTATTTCATTTGTTTTGTAAAGCGCTAAGAAACTGTATTTGTGTACCAGTGCTATATAATTCTTAAATATTATTATTATTATTATTATTAATCACTTTAGGCACAATAGTTTACTGCCAGCAGTAGAAGTTTGAAAACCAACAGATCCTGCATTTCAAAACACATTAGCAATTATTTCATATCTTTCCACTATTCAAATGTTGTTCTTGGGATAGGGCTTCGTCTTTGTTCCTTATCCTCCTCATTTTCATCCCACCTAAAATGACCTCCAATAAACTAACTCCACATTCTGATATAATCAAAATAAATGAGAGACAGAAGAGCTGAAATTTCATTTTACCTTTTTCCTTTTCTTCTTTCTCCCCATCTTTCTCTCCCTCAGCGTTCCCCTCATCCGTCGCTGTTGAATTCGTCGTCTTTTTCTTCTTATCCACCTTCTTCTTCTTCTTCGGCTTTGGCGTTGACTTGGCCTTACCGACGAGGTACCTCACCTCCCTCTCGAGACTGATCAGCTTCTCTTCTAGTTCTGAAACGACCCAAGCTGGTTTCTCGGTGAGAGCTGTTCTTTTCTGCTCTTCCATTTTCGTGGTGAAAAAAAGATTAGTGTCATTGTAGGCTTTCTCCAGAAGACCGAATTCCGTTTCCGTGTAGAGTAAGTCCTCGCCGGTGACGTTCTTTGCGGCTAGCATGAAGTGATAGGAGACATTAAGGGCTGATTTGGCGGCCTTGATGGCGGTGGGTCGAAGTCGTAGCTGTTCAACCCGGTATTCCAGGCTCTTAAGCATTTTCTTCAGTGCCTTGAGTTTGTCTTTGTATGCCTACATTTGAAAGAGAACAATTGTTGCAGCGGTCAAATAAAATTGGCTATGATTTCCTTTGATTTTATTTGGACAAGATAGCCCTATTATGACTTGGAAATCGAGGTTCCCAAAGACCCGTGCACAAAGCTAAATACATGTATACATTTAAAAATTAGTGACACTTATGGGGTGTTGCAAGAAAGTTGCAGTCAATTGCAAATCCCTAATATCAAGCGTAAATCATGCAAATAATTGCAAGTTTGCAATTGATCGCAAATCATCTTTCTTGCAACGCCCCCCATTTATAGTAAGAAAGCGAGAAAGAGAGAGAGAGAGAGAAAGAGGGGGGGGGGAGAATAAAAGCTAGATCTAGTTAATTTAATTTAATGTTAAAAACTTTAATCCTAACAAAATCCTAGTTGGGCGTTGCAAGAAAGTTGAGTTGCAATCGATTGCAAATATCAGTTGCAAATCCCAACTTGCAATCAATCTCAACTTTCTTGCAACCCTCCATTAAAATTTCTATCATTTGCAAATTTTGCAACTTGCAAATTTCTTGCAATGCCCTATTAAATTTAATTCATCACTGATATTTCTGAGAGGTGAAGATGAGACTTAAAGTCAGGAAGATAAATGCAGATACTAATGTCATGATTTTCAAGCACACAATGTAGATGCACTATTGAACTTTCTTTGCACTATAATGCCCATCTCATTTCTTTCAAATAGACTGCATTTCATTAATTTTCACTGATGTTTTTACCGGTAATTGGCATTTAGCATTATCCCCATGAAAAGACTACAAAGTCCAAGTTAACTACAGAACATCAGCTACAGGAATTGGAAGTCATTAATAATAACAATAAACAATTATTACAACTGACTCATAAATGACATGATATGTGTATGCATAATCATTCAAAATCATTTCCTGTTTCGCTAGAATTGACCATGAGAAAAAAATTAAATCAGGGTCATGTCATAACAAACCTAAAGATTGCCATGCAATAACTTTGTGAATGATTGTTAATCAATCATGAGAAATAGTTGTTTAACAATGTTGTGGTGATTAAATATGCTTACTTGGCTTTTGATTCTTTGTAATTCATTTCAAGCACCGTAAAACACTGATAAATTTCCATTTACGTTGTAGATGCTTACAATGATGGATAGTTACATTTATTACGAATTATATTTTTTCTTCTATCAGGTATGTTTGTTATTGGGGAGGGGTTGATTTTAAAATATGTGTGAACGTCACTTAAAGCCTATGTGCACTAGTTTGGCCTGGAGGGATTAGACCACCCTGCATGGTCACTGGCAGGTGGTTATCTCATCAACTCAGCTCTCAATTAACATAAGAAAAAGGGGACCATGGGGGATCAACGGGTACAGCTAAGGCTGTATAGAGGGCGCAAGTAGATACAAGTAGTGCAGTCCTGCTTTAAGAGTATCTTGAATGTTAATCTACGTACCTGGACCGGAACATCGGGCTCTTGATCATATAGCCAATCAGACGCCTCGCTGAGTGTAGCTCTCATCTCTTCTCTGCTCTCTTCTGTTGAGCACTTCTCGTAATCCTCGTTATAAAGCTTATCTTGGGCGCCAAAGATGAAGGATTCCAAATTATTAAGGGCCTGCTCTCTCTCATAGCGCTCCTCCTCCTTCTTCCTAAGTTGCTTCAATCTGCAAAGATGGACAAACGTTGAAAGTACTTCTTATCTTATACCAGTATGCAAAATACACAGTTTATCTAACATTTATGCAAGCAGAAAATTGCAAACTTATGTTTCATGAAGTCTCTATTCTTTGTATATTCAAAAGATTAATCCATGACCGATTAAAGATAAAAAAGTATTGGAAAACAAAAAAGCTATGCATTTTTGAAAACACTGTTATTCAAGAAAACAAAAAGTGTTTTATTTGAAATATGTAAGAATGCTATGATGTTATTTCAATTGATTGTGCATGATTGTTATCCGGGATACCAGATATACCGGGACTCATCAATAAATTCAACAACAAAAAAGAAAGAAAAAGAAAGTAGTTAATAAAACAGGCTATAAATCAAAATAAGCCTTGAATCATTTGAGCAGTAAGAATATAATAAGCTTATCATGGGTGTCAATAAATGAAGGATTCCAAATTAATGAGGGCCTGCTCACTCTCTCTCTCTCTTACTCTCGATATGTTCCTCTTCTTCCTTCCTAAATTGCTTCAGACTGCAAAAGTTGGAAATTAGGCAAAAAGTGGGCAACATGTATAAACCAAAATGGGCAGTATTCAAAACAGCAACCCTTGGCTGGAATGTTTTCTTACCAAAAATAGAGTTTGGTGGGAATTCAACAAGTTCAGACCTATTGTGAGAATGTCTACAATTTGAATCCACTTTGACCCTCAGCCTGATGAAATAGACGATACATAATCATGTTGATTATGAATAATCATAGCATAATCATCATCCAATAATCATGATTGGATTATGATTATGCTATGATTATAGTACAATAAAGATGATGAAAATGATGATGATGAAAATATAGTGATGAAAAAGTTAATAAATATGATGATGATGAAGATGATTATAATTATTAAGATGATAATGATGATGATTATGATGATGATTATAATGACAATAATGATGATTATAAGAAGAATGGTACTGACGAAATAAAAAGCACTCATGCAATACATCTTTCACGTTTTTAAAACGCTTTTCTTTTTGTTTTTAATAAATGAAACATGAGAAGTTGCCTGACTGGAAAGCTGACAATGCATCCAAATTTCACATCAGTATTCCTATCATTCAGAACACCCAAACAGGAAAATTATATCTCTTCAACTTCAATCCCAAATGCAAATAAGCTTTCTTTGAACATGAGCTATGCAGTCGCAATCGGACAGTATGGCATGCACTAGGTATGCATACCTGCCAACATTTGAAAATAAGAATTAGGAATTTCTAGCACGGTATGCCTTTGAAAAAAAGAAATCTGTACCCTTAACAGGCGTTCGCACATGCCACGGCAGTGTAACTGGCAATACTTGGTAAATCTGTACAAAAGAGCGAATGTACGAATTCGCTGCTCGATCATGCAGCCATTCAACGCACGCAATACGTGAACTTTCAAATAAAAAACAATCTTAGTTTGGCTTAAGCAACAAAACAAAAACAAAAAATTCTAGATTTTGAAAAATCTGAAAACTCTGAATTTTAGGTTTAAAAAATCCAGAAAATCTGATATTCTGGATTATTTGGAAGGGTTGGCAAGTATGGGAATGAGCAGCAATGGCTGTCGAAGAGAAAGAAGAAGGAGTACTGACTTGTTCCTTGAGGCCTTCTTGCTGGCCTTGGTGGGCTCGTTGAGATCTAGGACCTGGATCTCCACCGTGATGTTCTCTTTCTTGGTCACAATCTTGGGCTTGGTCTCCTTCTTCTCCTCTTCCTTTGGCGCTTCATCCTTTGACTCTTCTTCCTTCTTCTCTCCTTCATCTTCAGAGCTCTTCTTCTCTCCTTCATCTTCGGAGCTTTCCTTCTCTCCTTCCTCTGTTTTCTATTAATGAAACATAATAATATTAATAATAATAATACATAAGATTTGTAAGGCACCAAATCCACTTGACAATCAAATGCTCAAGGCGCAGCTTGTGCAGAAGATGAAATACATGATAAATATATACAAAAGTGCGATAGGAAAGGTACAGACATGAAAGGTAATGGTAATCAATTATAAGCTAAATTAAACAGATATTTTATATAGAGTGGGTTTGAATTATTTTTTTTTTTCACTGAATGGACGGATTTGCTGATTCATGGAACAGTTTCTTCAAAGTTCCAAAGATGTGGATATCATCACTTCATCAACCTCTATGACATCAAGAGATATAAAAAAAAACAGTCAAATGTGCTTAGAGATGGGTAGATATTTGTATCTGAGGAATTACGTGTACAGTATGTAATGAACAATGATTGGCTTATGCAAAGGGTCTATTGTGCTGATTGGTTTTCAAATCCTACATCTCTCTCTTCAAAGGTCACTGCCATAGCAATTTCGGTAAGGGCATCTCATTAATAAATCTGGGGGGCGTTTCACAAAACTTGTCATCAGTGACGAATGACAGTTTTTGTTATAAGCTACTGAAATCCTTGCTTCCGATTGGTTATCAGCAGATTTGTCACTGATTTTTGTCATTTGTCATTGAAAAAAGGCTTTGTGAAACGGGCCCCTGGTTTACATGTGATTTAGATCTGATAAGTCTGATTTACTTGTGATTTACAAGATATAAATATGACCTACATGTATGTTATTCATGTGTTTTAACGTGATTTACATGTTACCGGTACCGGAATTTACCTGTAATATAGCAGTGGTTTTTATGATTTAAATTTTGCAAATGATCCGTTTAAAGTCCATTTACATCCAAATTCACATTTTATGAAAATTAATGATCAAAATAGCAATAACCATCATGAATATTTAAAGTTTATTCACATCCAAATCAATTTTTAGATTGATCAGATTCAAAGTTGTTTTATATGTGGATCAAAGCAGATTTCAATCTGATTGAAATTAACTCATTATGAATTTCTTACCTTCTCTGTATCTGCATCTGACTTTTCCTCCTCCTCCTCGGTCTCCTTCTCTGTCTCCTCCTCCTTCTCCTCTTTCCCTTCCTTCCCTTCAGCATCTGCAGCTTCCTGTTCCTGTGGAGCTTTATCAGTAGTCTCTTCCCCAGCTGGTTGCTCGCCATTTTCCTCCTGCTGCTCTGGGGCTGTTCCATCTTCTTCCTTCTCCCCCTCTGGTGGAGTGTCATCAGTCTTCTCTTCCTGTGGTACGACATTGGGGATGAAAGGGAATACATGACAATTGTTTTGTGTGAGGGAGGAAGAAAGAATGGCGAGTGCGAGTGTGTTTATAAAAGGAAGAGTGAAGGAGAGTGAGCAGAGACCAAATACATGGAACGGAAACAAGAGGAGGAACATTATATTGTGAAAGAGTGCACGCAAGGAGGGCGAGGAGATTCAAAATGGAGGAAAGGTAAGACGTTCCACAATAAAATTGACAAGTAAAAAAGAAAGAATAGATATTACAAGACGAAAGTATCAGACAACAAAAATATTTCAATACTTCAATGGGGTGTTGGGTGGAGTTAAGTCTTTGTGTTTCCTGGAAAGCCCACATTTTTCTGAACATTTTGAATAAATACTCATCTTGGCAAAATATGGAGTTCAGCTTTGTGTCACTGAACCCTCGATATTATGTTTGTATTTGGTCAATTTGATATTACATCATACAGTCAAACCTGCTCTAGTGACTACCTATATTGAAAGACCACCTGTAGACAAAGACCACCTGCCTATAAAGACTATTATTTTTGTCTCCCTTGAGTGGTCTTTATAGACAGGTTTCACTGTATGATGTGATATCAAATTGACCAAATACGAACACAATATAGAAGGTTCAGTGACACAAATACTTAACTCCATATTTTGCCAAAGTGAGTATTTGATATCAAAATGTTCAGAAAAAGGTGGGCTTTCCTGGAAACACAAAGACTTAATTCCACCCAACACCCCATTGAGTCAATGGCTAGTGAAACATAGGCTTAACTCCTTAAGGCCCAAGTGCTCAGTTACACATAATATAAACCACTTTTTCTCAAAATGGCCAAAATGGAGTTCTTTGTGTCACTGACCCCCTCGATAAAATAATGATCTTTACCTGTTCTGCTTCTGCTTCTCCTTCTCCTTCTTCTTCTCCATTTTCCTCCGTCTCTGTCTGAGTATCATCGTCTTCATCGGCGTTAGAACCACCGGAGAAAAAACGACTGATGGTGCTTCCCAACTCTTCAAAAAATAAGAATGAAAACATTAAAGATACTATGTCCCTTTTGCAGCCAACATCAAATTCTGTAGAACTTTGCAGGAATTATGAATATGTCATGTATGTCCTATCTTTAAACATTAGCATTGTCCTAATATTCAAATTATGCAAGGAAACCTGTTTACCTTCTAGACTTCACTTTCAGACACTATTGACTGACTGACTGACATATTTTTTCATCTTTGGTAACATACATAAAATGAGCAGAAAACAGGTACATGAGCATTTGTGTACATCAATAACCCACTCCTTTAATGGCCAAAGGTGAACTGATTGAATCTTTGTGCAGCACAAAACGAACGACCATTCGGTAAAAGGATCTGAAAACCAGACAATTAGTAGGTGATTGCAATAACTTAAGTCGATTCAACAACTAAAGATCGTTATTTTCCCACTAAAAGCCATTTTCAAGCCCTTTCGTTTTGAGGGAAATTCTAAATTAGTATTGTCTTTCAAATGCCGTTGGAATTTAACCTTTTCATTTTTTGGGTTTAAAAATGGGACATAGTACCTTTACAGGACAATCCAACCCTTTTAATAAGTTCATTTGATTGAAGGCAGAAATATCAGAGAATCATAATGGCGAAAGGTTGAAATGAATCGGACCAATAAATTGAAAGTTATGAATGTTTGAAATAAGATCACTACAGCTATGCGAATCTCATATTTTGTCAGTGGATTGTGACGTAGTGACAGATAACTGTCCTGTTTGTCATGTACAAAAATATCACTAATTTCTGTTTTTCTCAGAAGTAACTTCACCCCTGTGGGCGCTACTCAAAATATATTATGGAGAGATTATATTAGTACATGTCATCTATACAAAAAAAGTAGACCATCCTGAGTTATTCATTTTGAAAAGAAAAAAAAAAAGGTCAATTTTTTGTGCTGGAACAAATGAGAAAGCCCTCTGTCACTACATCACAGAGACAATATTGATTCAGTTAATTTGAGGAACTCGTACCTATAGTGATTGCAACTTTAAAAAAATTCCTAACTTTCTCATATTTTGTTCAATTTCATTCAAACTTTCACTGGTATGCTTCTCTGGTTTTCTGCTTTATTGTAGAGTAGCTTGCTGTCAAGGCTGTATTTCCCTTTAAATACAGTATAGGTTACCAACTGCATTTGAATAAACATCTGTCTAAATTTAAATCTATCTATATTTAAACATAATTATTAATAAGGTATGTGTTCGAAGGGAATGATGGTGCATACATGTATGTGTCATCATATGTGTCATTAACTACACACACAAACATGCAGAAAATAAACTTCAAGATACACACTACCGGTATGTATAATAATATATATTGTGTAAGGAAAAATGCCCAAAGAAATTTTCCTTGACATGGTGATGGTTATTCAAATTCTTCAGGGAAACTAGAATGAAAACACTAAATATGAGTGATTAGCTACATGGAGTGGACTTTAAAAGATTATTATTATTATTATTAATCAATCATCCAGAAAACAAACTTCCTGAAACATATTATCCAGGGCCCCGTCTTACAAAGAGTTGCGATTGATCCAAATCAATCGTAAGTCCTCCAATCAATCGCAAGTTTGCAGTCTCCTATCTCTTATGTACATAGTTGCGATTGATATCAATTGCAAATAAGTTGCGATTGATATCAACTCTTTGTAAGACGGGGCCCAGCAGAACATACAATGGGTTAAAGAGGAATTTCCAGGTTATCAACATGAAACCAAAACTTCATGAAATATTACTTCCAGAAGAAATGTTGAGGTAATGTTTCCAAAGCTCATTATAATTTTAACATTTTAAGAGCCTTGGCTCTGTATTACAAAGAGTTGATATCAATCGCATCTTATTTGCGATTGATATCAATCGCAATATGTACATAAGAGATAGGAGCTTGCAAACTTCCTCATGAACAGAACCCAACAGGTGTCAGTTAATGGTGCTCTCTCGCGACCGATGTCAACGAGCATCGGGTCTCCTCAGGGTTGTGTACGTTCTCCCATTCTTTTTATACTCTACACGAATGACTGTCAAGCTGATGGTGTAAATACAAGTATTCTTAAATACCGGTGTGCAGTCTGTTTGGATACGTTGCGAAACGTTGCGAAACTGGTCGTTTGTATCTCCTTGACATGCATTAATGAATGACTGAAAACCTGTCCTCACTATGTGCAATATCCATGTCTTCAATATTCATGTGTCTTCGTATTATTATCATTAAAATGATGAGTTCCCACTGCAGGATGTATGTACGAAGAAAATAGAGCTAAATTATTGAATGTAACTGTTTTTACTTGGAATAGCTCACACATCTTTCATCACTTTTTAAGTACAGCCAGTGTATGTATGTATGTATGTATTATGAACTATGTGCAATTATCTCTGAATTCGGGTTTGCTCGTACTGTGGGTTGGGATTCCTTCTCGATCCTTTCCTTCCACCTCCCCCCCCCCCCCCCCCCCCCACCCCCCCCCCCCCCCCCCCCCCCTCTCTCTCTACTCTCTCTTTTCTTTTCTCTTTGTTTGTATCTCTCTCTTTTATTTTCTCTCTTATATCTTCCTCTTCCTCTCTCTCTCTATCCTCGTCTCTCGTTATTTCTCACTGTCTCTGTCTCTATGTCCCTCTCTCTCTCTCTCTTTCTATGTTCCTCCGGCTGGGATGAGTTTCTGGGGTGGGGGGGGGGTGCAAGGGATCGGGGTATTGTGTACTAAAGCTATGTTGAAAATCTTGGGGCCTTTTTACTATGTATATTTGTGCATTGTGTCGATGTCATATTATGTTTTTCCAATTTCTAAACAATTTTGAATGTAATTATTTCCTATTTCAATGTCATGCTTTTGATGTCTTTTTATACATGATTTTAATGTAAACGTAATATGTAAAATCCCACAATGAATTTCCATGTTATTATTGGACAAAATAAAATTGAATTGAATTGAATTGAACTTGCGATTGATTTTGATCTTTGTAAGACGGGGCCCAGGTAATCAATACTCAAACTCTACCTCTCGAAGATGCAATACAGTATACAAGGAGATATTTGCAAAGTGATTATTTCCTAGAAATAGTGAGATAAAATTGCATAATGTGATATGGGCTATACAAGAACGACATACTATTATATGAAATATATCTCTTACTTGCTAATGTGGACTGCTCTTCTTCAGTTGTCTCAGTTACATTCTTGGTAGTTTCAAACACCGATTCCACCTGAAAAAATATGAAATCAGAACAAATATAATATATCATATAATGTATATTATTTATATATTACATTTATATATATATAAACATATTTATATATTATATTTATGTATAATATAAACAACATATGACAACATACTATTAATAGCATAATACAGTCAAACCTGATTTAGCAGCCAACTGTATAGAAAACAACTAACTCTCTATATAGACAACAGTTTTTGTTTCCCTTCAAAACAAAGTTTCCCATATTTTGATCTAAATGAATGTATAATTGATTAGCTTGTATTTTCTTATCCTATCCTCCCTGGGGCCTTTGCTAGTCCCTCCAGATGTACTCAATTAACATGTTAAGTATGTATCATTCTTTATTGCATGTTTTTTTTTCTATTGTAATATTTTGATTTCTTTTCTGCTTTGTTGTACACATTTTACTGTTTTTATGGGTTTTATAGTAATTAATGAATTGAAGAAAAAAAATATGTAAGTAAACTAGTATATAAAGAACACTTTTATTATCTCCCTAGGGCAGTCTTTCTATAGAGGTTTGAATGTAATTAAATAGATACATTTTATGTGCAACTGTCGATATGCAACTCCTCAAAGAAAATCACTGATGATATCTCACCGTATCTAAATGGAAGATTCCGCTCTCATCGATCCTGAAGTGAGCTTTGATTCCTTTGTTATCTGAGCCAGGGTTCTTCTCGATCGCTTCCTTGACCCCTTTCAGATTGACCTCAAGCAGCTTGCGAACTCCAAATGCACTGAAATGAGAGGTCACGAGAGGTCAAGAGAGGTCACGAAAGGTCATGATAATGCATATATAGTGGAAACTTGAAATAATTTTGATAATGGATGACTTAAGATTCACCTCAAGCAACTTACGGACTCCAAATGCACTGAAACAAGAGGTCAAGAGGTCACGATAATGCATAAGACAATAGAAACTTGAAAGAAAATGGATAATGATGACTTAACCCATTTCCTACTGGAACCAGTGGTCCCTGTGTATAATCAAATAGAAAATATGAACACCGAGTCATTGATATCAGAACATTGTTCACTTCAGTACCCGTCTTTCAACAAAATTATTTACCTAAATTTTGGGAGCAATTATGAACAAATGCACCTTCTAATATCACTTTTATATAGATGCCTGTACAAAATCTGGTAAACAATTCTTTTTTTCTCTGAAGTTACAAAAATGGATTTACCTCCTTTTGGAATTAAACTCTTCATTTAGAGGCTGACATGTGATCATAAAACATCACAAAAGAAAAATGTAAAATTCTTTTTTTTTCTTACAAGATGTGTAAGGCTTTAAAGAAAAATGTTGTGAATACATGTGGCTAGCAAAATTTCAAGCCTCCCTAAAGTTTTTCTCAGGTTCAAGCTTTCAAATTCTATTAAAAAATGATTCAAATTTTCACTCACTCAAGGTCATCCTCGCTCATGACCCTTTCAAGGTCACCATAGTTGACATTGATGGCAAAGTCGTCATAGTGCCTGTTAAAGGTCATGACCTTCTTCTGTGGGTAGGGATTGGCGATGCCAAACAGCGTTCTCTTGACGATACGGGTGATCTCCCGACCGTCATCGTCTACAAGATCACGCTCAAATTCCACCTGCATTAAAGGTATCATTTAACAATGTTAAATCTGAGATGCATGGCCCTACGTCTTACCAGTGTCTGTGATATGGTGTAATATTGAAGCCCTAAAAAAATTGCGCTTCATAATGATCATAAAGTGCCTCAAAAAAGTAAAAATCTTAGAGTGGCTAGTTTTACCATACTCGTTTTCCCCAATAGACTGTAGTGTTATGAAAGCTGTTAGGAAAACGCAAAATTTCATTTTGATTTCCAATCATAAATATCTTGATAATCAGACAGGCGATCGGCTTGTAAAAGTCATGGGGTTCCTGATTGACCTAAAGGTTGATAACTATCATTGCAGCATGAGCTAAATCCAGGATTTTGTTTCAGAATCTGAGACAAAGCTACCCAATCCCTTTAATCAAAGTAAAGAGGAATATTGGGAATTTTCTTATCCCACATTGACAACATGAATGAAACCTCTCTCCATCCAATACATAGCAATGTTTTTCTTATATGCTATTTGAATTTGTTTCTATCTCATGTGTGTACAGTTGTTGATATAAATATGATTAATGTTCAATGCTCCATATACATAATAAAATTGACATCAACTTCTGAACCAACTGTTTGATCTTTTGAAGGCTGAAACTATTTTAAATTTGTTCATTCATGTTTAAGTTGACTGCTTTTTGAAAATATGGAGATTTAGTAATACTTTACAGGCCTTAAATTTCAATATTTTTAGGGCAAGCCCACTTTTCTATAGGGCACATTCCTATATTACAGCACAAATAGGAAGAATTGGAAAGGGCACAAAAAATCTACACGGCCAATGAGAGGGGCATTGAGGCCAATCAAAGGGGCATCCAAGGCCATGGCCTTGGCTTAATTTAAGCCCTGCTTTATTAGTTTGAAAGCTTGAACAAGTAGGTTGACCAGTAATTTGCAAACTCATCTATTTCCGCTGTTTATCAAATTGGTTGCTTTCTCAAAAACTTACTTGTACTTTGTCTAGTAAAATGCCAGCAATTGGTAACATTGATCTTACCTGAATGGGAAAGACATTAGCATCCTTGATGAGGAACTTCTTAACCTTGAATCCCTTGCTAAGATGGGCCGCGTGGTAGACTGCCCCGAGCGCCGCCGCTTCGTCAGCGTTGATGCTCTTACCAAGCTCCTTCCTACATCACCATCAGATAATATTTAATTTAATTTTCATTTAATTTTCATTTTAAAATTTGCATTACCTGAATGTCAAAAAAAAGGCTATTACATGTCAGCTATATAGGAATTGCATATCATTAATGTTGTTTGTAATTAATTATTTTCATGTATCAGGCATAAATGTTAATTTCTATTCCGCCCTATCTCTATTTCCTAAGCGCATAGGGACTTTCTTTGTATTAGTGATATGCGCTATACAAATAACGTTCATTATTATTATCATTATTACAATGAAAGTTTATAGGGATCAGATTCCTTTACAATATAGCTAAAAGGTACAACATTTTGGGCCTACAGTATGTGCAATGTTCATTATTATTATTATTATTATAACAATGAACATTTACAGGGATCAGACTCCTTTACAATATAGCTAAAAGGTACAACATTTTGGGCCTACAGTATGTGCAAATATAAATATCACCCCTCCACCCCTCCCCCCCCCCTCTCCTAAGATAGAGATTTTAAATTGGCAATCGCCATTATTCATTCCTGAGCCATTTGTTCTGTGATTTAAGAGGTAAGACAATGGTACAGTCAAACCTGTCTATTAAGGCCACCCAAGGGAAACAGAAAAAAGAGGCCACTGTAGACAGGTTCAACAACACACATTTCTTTCTCAAGGGAATAAAAAAAAGACAGATTTGACCGTAGTTCTTTTGAGTCCCAGGGGTTAGAGAATGTCTGAAAATATTATAGAACATAGACAGCAACATTTTGCCTGATGATTTGGTAGGTATATCATCCCTGTACAATCATCCTACTTTTTAAAATCTTCAAAGCAGTAAGGTACAGGACAACATATTTAAAACATGTCCATAACACAAAAGAGCTACAACTATTAAGGTTGATTTTGAACCATCATCATTTGGAGTGATGTTTGACTCTCTAATAGGAAATTTACCATGTACACATGTTTAAACTGAGGGGTCCACAATTTACAAACTCTGCTTTTCAATGGACCTCTCCATTTCCCTCAAAATATAAATGCAGTTAAATTTAAAAATTCTATTTTTGTCTTCCTCAAATGTATAAATTACTATTACCGTAAGATTTGTTTATTACAAATGTAACTATGTTTTGTATACATTTTACATTGTATTCGTTATTATGTATTGTATTTTGTTGGAAATGAAAAAATAAAAAATGAAACGAAAATGAAACTAATATTATCATGCCGAAAGCCAGCCAATGCAAGATGGCTGCATTCAAGTCAAAGTGGTATTCCCCCGCATGCGAATATTTAAACCATATGCATATGACAACTGAAGGTTTTAAGAATTATGCATTAGATTTTCAATTTTTTTTTCTCAATTAAGTTTATTCATTTCCATAAAAATCACATTACAAAACTAGATGGAACTCCGACTGCGCGCAGTCGAAAATGATGCCTCCGTCATTGAGCAATTTTACAAACCAGAACATAAGAAATTTTTCATATTCAAGTTTGATGGTTATACATTAAAAGGTTCTCAGAATATCGTGACTACAAGCTATTTCTCATTTACATGTACATGTACATGTATGACCATTTGATCTTTGACCTCATGACCCCAAAATCTACTCAGTTCATTGGCTCTGCAAGATACATACATGTCTTGAGTTTGATGGTAATCCATCCATTGGTTCTAATGATAATGCGATCACAAGCTATTTTTGTATACATAATGAGCCCTGTGACCTTTGACCTATGACCTCGTAACCCCAAAATCGAATCAATCCATTGGCTCTGCAGGATACATACATGACCTAAGTAGGGCAGGAATCCATCAACCGGCTCTTGAGATAACGCGATCACAAGCTATTTTGCATACATAATGAGCCCTGTGGCCTTTGACCTTTGACCCTGTGACCCCAAAATCTTATCAGTTCATTGGCTCTGCAAGTTACATACATGACCAAAGTTTGGTAGGAATCCATTAGTCGGTTCTTGAGATAACGCGATCACGAGAACGGGACATACGTACGGACAACCCAAAAACATAATGCCTCCGGCTACTTCATAACGGAGGCATAAAAACACATACATATAATAACATGCACAATCTTTCACTAGAATATACATAAGTACATTAAAATTTTAAACAATAATGGAAAAAGGGAAGTTATAAAAACCCAAATAAATGAGTTTGCCGAGATTTCTCCCCCAAAATAATTAAACAAATTGTGATGAACATAATAAAGATTTGAAATTACATAAACTTATTTTGCCCCAAAGAAAACTTGTAAAACAACAGGAAAAAAAGAAAAAAAATACAATCCCTACAAAAACACACATACACACGTATATAGGGAAGAAGGAAGTGGAAGAGTCATGTTTTGCTCTGGATGATGAAACAAACTTGGTACTTACTTTCCTGTTACTTTCAAGAGCGTTTCCTGGACTTTTGGAATCCTTGTTCCACCACCGACAAGAATGATCTGGTCAATCTCGTCCTTTAAAAAAAAAACAGAACAATCAAACAAAAGCAGTGATTACAACTCAGTCGTGGATCACTGTTGCATGGTAGAAAATTTCCAATGTACAGTCAAACCTGCTTTAGTGACCACCTGTCTTCAAAGACCACCTGTCTACAAAGCCCACATCTTTTGTTTCCCTTGAAAACATTTTCTCATTGAAACATGTACTAAAGGTACCTGTCTACAAAGATCACTTTTTGTGTTTCCCGTGGGCAGTTGCTATAGACAGGTTTGACTGTATTAAGATGCATTATTGCAAATTTAATGCAATGACAGCATCATTGAGAAACACCTTTTGAAAAACATTAACAAACTTTACATGTTGAAAACAGAGCCCAAGGCAATTTGGAATGCAGTCAACAAAAAGTTGTGTTATAATAAAATTATATTTTATGCAAAAGTTTATAAAGAGATATGACTAGAAAGCAGACTAGTTCTTAATTAAAAGGCATCACTGTTTCCCATTGACAGTAATGCATAGAAAAGTTGTTGTACCGATGGAATTTGAACTGTCTGCATTGATAAATTATTTCAAGGCCCATTGCTAGGGAGAACATACCGCACTAGCTTATGAAGGTGCACAATAAGTCAGTCTTTTCAAAGCTATTACAAGACATGATTATGCCATTTGGGGATTCTGGTAGAAAACAAGAGAGTTAAAGGCATCGTTTAAAAATGTTAAATATGAGATACATGGCCCATACGTGTCTGTGATATGGTGTAACATTGAAGCCCTAAAAAAAAAATTGAGCTTCGAAATGATCATGTAGTGCCTCAAAAAAGTGACCGGTTTTACCATAATCGTTTTCCCCGATAGACTGTAGTGTTATGAAAATCGTTAGGAAAATGCAAAATTTCATTTCGATTTTCAATCATAAATATCTTGATATTCAGACAGGTGATCAGCTTGTAAAAGTCATGGGGTTCCTGACTGACTTAAAGGTGTATAATTATGATTGCAGCATGAGCTAAATCCAGGATTTTGTTTCAGAATCCGAGACAAAGTTATCCAATCCCTTTAAAGGGGTCCGTACCATTGTCATTTCTGATGACTTCAGCGCCCTCTCCACTGGTCCGCCGACCCTCTCGAAGAGGTCAGAGGTCATCTTCTCCAGCTCTGCTCTGCTCACATGACCTTTGAAGTCCTTGTCATCAAGCAGACCTTCAATCTGGAGGAAAGGATGAAAAGATGATGAGAAAAGGGTTATAACAGAGCTGCCAACCTTGTGCGACCAAAAAAAGGAAGAATTTCAAGCAAAAAAATGGAATTCATTAAATCGAACTTACAACCACGCGCGACACACTTCCAATGCAGAAATGTCCATTCCTCATGCTGTTTTTCTCTATACAAGCAGGTATTTTTTGTGGTTATTATGGTATTATCGGCATTTCATTCTTTTTAAGAATATTTTTCTCTTCAAGTATGTTTTCAAGTATGATTTAAACTTAGTTTTTTAATGAATTTGTGATCAAATCAACATTCTAGGGCAGTTGTATGATTTGCGGTATGTACAACAACAACAAAATAAAAAATAAAAAAAAATAAAAAAAAATTTAAAAAACATATTTTATGAAGAAAAAAAAAACATACTACCATAATTTGGAAGAAAAAACGGATTAATTCCGGCAAGAATGGAATGGTTGGCAGCTCTGATTGAAGTTACATCTCTGTAGCTATAGTCAATATACTGTCAAACACTTTTTGCCAGTAAATTCATTGATTTATGAAAACAGAATACAGTTATCATTATCACTGATATAGCCAATATTACCATAACTATCATCCCCATCGTCACACCACCACCACCACCACCACCACCACCACCACCACTATCATCGTAATCACCATCATAATTATCATCATCATTATCATCACCACCACCCCCATCACCACCACCACCATCATCATCATCATTATCACAGCCATCATCACCGAGACCACCAACACCACCACCACCATCATCATCATCATCATCATCATCACCACCACCACCACCATCATCATCATCACCACAACCACCACCATCATCATCATCATCACCGAGACAACCACCACCATCTTCATCATCATCATCATCATCATCATCATCACCATCACCATCATCATCACCACCATCACCACCACCACCACCACCTCCACCACCGACCACCACCACCATCATCATCATCACCTACACCACCGCCACCATCATCATCATCATCATCACCACCACCACCACCACCACCACCACCACCATCATCATCCTCATCATCACCACCACCACCACAATCATTATCATAATCATCATCATCTCCACCACCACCATCACCACCAGCACCACCATCATCATCATCATCTCCACCACCACCATCACCACCACCACCACCACCACCACCACCACCACCACCACCACCACCAACATCATCAATACCATACCTGTGAGGTGATGTCATTGTTGGCACTGAGGACCTTCTTCACCCTCTTGGCTTCCTTGAGTAGTTTAGCCATGGATCTGTTGGACGTCTCTACCTTGTTGGTCGTCTTGCCCTGCTGGTTGAACATCTCCGCGAGATGCTTCTGAAGGCGGATCTCCCACTCCAACCCACCAAGTGTACGATCAAATCTGATTATATAGACAAAGGGGTATATGTATGTATATATATTATATACAAAAGAAGAATAAATAATTTCTTTGTTTTATCATTTTCGCGCATCTCTCCCTCCTTTTTCATTTGCGTGTTCCGAGTCTTTCTTTTCTAACAGACTTATCTTGTACCTTGTTTTCTGAACTGTTGTGCTCCATTTTCAAGTTTTGAAGAACGCCTATTTTGTATCAATTTGTTATTTCTTGACAAAGGGTTTTTTCATTACCCGGTATATCTTCTTCACCATCCGTCACAGGACTATTATATATATATATATACACATAAGGTAAAATATGGAAAATAAGAATTCAGCAGTGGTGAATCCAGGGGGGTGTTTCACAAAGATCAAGTTGAACTTATCTCTAAGTTGGACTTAAAAATTATGGAGAGCCATTTGTAGCCTTAAAATAAAATATATTCAAAAGCAAAAATTCAAATATTTTAGACTTTTCATGAATTCCACATCAAGAACATGAAATCTCCCATGATAATAAAAAAATTAGAATGATCTGAATAAAAAAAAATTGCCTTTTAAAATAACTTTTACAAAATATTTTCAAAGATATTGACAGCTTTGCATAATTGTTAAGTCCAACTTAGAGATAAGTTCAACTTAGGATCTTTGCGAAACACCCCCAGAACTGTCAGAAGGGGGAGAGAGAGGCAAATTTCATGTCTTTAAGTAAAGATTGGTAGTGGTTAACCTGTTCAATTTAAATCTTTCGTCCACCCTAATATTTAGTTGGCAGAGAAACAGATCAGTAAAAGTTCAAGAAAAGTCTGATAAAGAATAAGAAAATTATATATGTAATTTGAGTAAGTTTGATTGATCACAACTTCAAAGAGTGATAATTCTCTTATTTTTAATCGGATTTAACTCAAATTTGTTGCTTCTATTTAAAACCAAATTAATATCAGGGTGAATTTGCCCTTTAAGAACTGAATTCATCCGGACTTACCCAACTCCCTTGATGGCTAACTGTGGATTGGTTTCCTCTTTGCCTCTTTCCTTAGTCTTGACCAGCTGATAACTGACGATGGTAGCGGTCGTACTGCCAGCTCCCATGTCATAGAACATGATATTGTGAGGCGTGGCATTGAAGTCCTTACGACGGAAGGCTCCGTAGTTCAGTGCAACTGCAGAGAGGTAAACAATGTTGATACTTCACTGCCGTCCAAATGAAAAGTTTGTTTGTCTTCTTAAAATTCTTAATAAACGAAGTTTCATATTATCGGATTCCCGTTCATATTTATGTTACAATTTAAGTGAAACTTTACCTTCAAATTTCTTGGGCTCCCAACACTTTTAGAGAGGCTTTAAACTTGAAAAGTTAGTTGTCTGTACGATAAGAACAAAATTTGAAAATTCACCTGCGGTATTTGCATTCATAAGCTGCAGCACTCTAAGACCAGCTAGTTCAGCAGCATAAAGTACGGCTCTCCTCTCGGCTTGGTTGAAGAAGGCTGGCACGGTGATCACTGCATCTCTCACCATTTGCTCTGTAATGAGGATAAACACTTAATCATGAGTTTCTATTGTCTTTAACCCCTCGCCTACGAGAACCGGGTTGTTCCTGTGCTAAGCCAAAATGGGAATGACAGGATTCAGTAGTTGACGTGTTCAACATGCTTGGACATATCACTATGGGAATCAAAGGAAGACAAGATAACTACCTGTAATCATCCTAACAATCAAATATTTAAAAAAAATCAGTATAATACCTTTTAATTGTAAACTCTTAATTTACTTTTTACTCTCTTTCCTTCTTTTTTTTCTTTCTTTTATTCTTTTATTTATTTTTCTCTTCATCTTCTATTTCTTCTTCTCCTTTCTACTCCTTCGATATCAATTTCACTACTGTGTGTCTTAAATTTTCATATTTCACATCATACTATTTGCATGTATCTTATATGTTGCTTTTTTTATTTGTAAATTCAAAATGTATCAGCTTTGAGTTTTGAATTTGATCTTTTTTTAAATCCATGAACCTTGTCAATTCAATTCAGTTAAAAAACACATCAAACAAGAATATACACTATACATTCCTGACGACGGATAGTCAACCTGTTTGAAACATCGAGCCACTCCCGCCACTCATCCTCTCCAAGCACTCCTTAGAACTAGAAGCTAAGAAAGATAACCAACAGTCTTTTTCAAGACTACACAAACAGTCCTTTAAAGGACTACACAACCTTAAGAAAGATTACCGAGAGTCCTTTTCAGGACTCCGCAATCCTCTCTCTCTCCCTCTCTCACATGGTGCACCCGCAAGCCTACTGTATAAGAATATACAATACAATAATACTATCAATACATCAATGATATGACAAAGAGTCAGTCGGCTTGGTGTATGTTTGGAGTAGCCCGACCATTTTGTATTCATTTACCAGTTTTTGGATGGAATACAAATACAGTGATCAGCACGATTGTTCTTTTTTGTTATGTTTATCAGTACGTGGTTTTCCAATTTGAATTGCTGTAATTTGATATTTATAAATCTAATGGGGCGTTGCAAGAAATTTGAGTTGCAATCGAATGCAAATCAAACGCCCCATAAGATTTGCAATCCATACATGTATACATATTGTCCTGTGATTAATAATAATAAAAAATATTTATAAGGCGCTTAATACTGGTGTCTCTATTAATCATAATACTCCTTTTATTCTTTGAAAATAGTTGTTCGCAGTTAACCATAAACCCTGTTAAATGAAACTGGTTTGATATCTTCATGTACATGTAGATGATTGCCATAACTCAGTTCTAGTGAATATTACAAAGTAATGTTTTACCGGCAAATGTTTCAGCACTTTCTCTCGATTTATTGAGGGCAATGGCCAGCAGCTCTTCTGGATGAAAGATGACATCATCATTGTGCTTGAAGAAAACGGTGCCTAGAGGAAAAACAAGTTTGACAGAACAGTAGTTAGTATTCTCTTCTTTCCCATGTTTCCCCAAGTCTCTCTCTCTCTCTTTCTCTCTGTGTCTGTCTCTCCCCCCTCCCTCCCTCCCCCCTCCCCCTCCCTCCCTCCCTCCCTCTCTCTCTGTGCTTTACATCGTACTAGAATTTTAAGAGCTAATTAAAATTGCAAATGTAGATGTTTATTGAGATATAGTATTTGACAGATAAGTGGGGAAATGCACAATGTACACAAAAATAAGCAAGTAATTAACAAATTATCAAATCTAATTTAATTTTAGGTCCATAGAAAAATAACAAAACTAATAACTCTAGATAAATATATGATGACAATGAAGTAATGGCTACAGAACAGAGCAACATATAATAAAGCAAAGCAAAATATTATCTATCGGATACTTTACACTACTACAAACACATGTATCCCCAAAAAATACAAAATACAAAATTAGAAAGTCTAAAAGTCTTCACTTTTTTTCTGCACTTACCTCTGTCTTCATCTTGTCCTAGCTCATAGAAAGGGAATCTATTCTGATGTAACTTGACGAGTGGGTTCTCTAAAGGTTTGGCTAACAGATCTTGGAGGTAGTAGTAGTTACTCTTGGGATATCTCACACCCTGTATAAATAAATAGATACAATTGGACATATTATAATTTATATTTATTTTTATCATCAATATCATGTTTATTCTTACTTGTAATTCATCTTACTACAAATATATTGAACAAAATAAGGGAAACGACAGAAGAAAAGAGGAAGCAAACAAGGAGAAAAAAACTCAGAATCATATTACTTGAATTATGACTATGAGTACCGTACATTAAAAAAAATACCCATCCCTCCCTAAAAAAGGGTAATCCACTATTGCAATATCAACATCATTATTATCAACATTATTATCACTACTATCCTCATTATATTCTTCATTATCACCACCATCATATCCAACCATCAAAGGATTCATCTTAAAACAAAAATATTGAACAAAATAAGTGAAATAGCTTAAGAAAAAAAATCAAACAGAAATAAAAAAATCAAATCAAATCAAATAAAATAAAAAGAGGAAGCGAACATGGATAAGAAAATCAATGTTACGTAGATTTCGACTACCTGTATGAGTGACATGTAAACATTTCTTTTAAAATATCCATCCCTCCCTAAAAAAAAGATAAATCCAATATTGCAATATCATTATCATTATTATCATCATTATTGCCACCACCAATTATCATCATTATCTTCATTATCACCATCTTCATCATTACCCACCATAAGTTCATACATCTTAAAACAAAAATATTGAACAAAATAAGCAAAATGGCTAAAGAAAAGAGAAAGTGAACATGGATACCCATGTTCAATATTACTTGGATTATGACTATGAGTACCATAATTTTCTTTATAATATCCATCCCTCTCTAAATAAACTAGTTAATCCAGTATTTAAATATAAACCCTGGCAGTCCGCAACTGGAAATCATACTCTGAAAGATTGACTGCATGCCTGTAGCAAAGTGGCTGATCTCTGGCCAGCATCAAATTACCCATGAAAATAGTCGCCCGACCCACAACAGTGATAACACCACGATGAGGATTTATGAGTCATAGAGTGTTTGGGAAAGTGAAGCATGAATATTTTAGCAGGAATAAGCTGCCTGCTACTATGAGGGCAAACCATCAAAAAAATAATTGAAGATCCATATTTAAATATGGGAATTTATCAATTATTTTAGATATGAAGTTCAAAATGTTAATCATAATGCAGCACAAAATTACAACCTGCTGGGGGGTGTTCCATGAAACAATTAGTAGGTGGTTTTCACCAACTAATATCATGTTCACCGACAATTTAGACATTTAGTCAGCGCTGACTAAATGTGACCAATCACAGGCCTGGAAAATAGTCGGTGACAAAATAATTGTTTCATGAAACGCGCCCCTGGTACCAACTTGCCTGGTACCCCCCCCCCCCCTTACCCCGATACAGTCCATTCATGTTTGCCTCTTATATAAAGGCTTCTTGCATTAACATTGCACAAAGAGTCTAGGAGTAAGAACACATCTTATGCTTTAAATAACTATTCACCTTTTCAAATAAAGTATTTAATTATTGATTTAGTAGACCTACAATTGTGACAGATTCTGAAAAAAATGTCAGAACTTTAGGAATATTCAGAAAATCTTCTGATTCACACATTTTACAACAAATATCTCATACAACAAATTCAACAATGTACAGTGTACAGAAGTTCCAACTTATCAAATTATATGAAATTCACTACTAAATTCTCTAATCCCCATAGGCTTAATACAAGCACAAACTGGTTCCAGTAGGCAGTGGGTTAAACGCTTACATTCTACTACAGTCAAAGTAGTCAAACCTGCTTTATACCCCATTCACAGTGGTTTTGAAATTTGTAGCGGCGTTGTAGCGGAGCGGCGACACTGCCATAACACCGCTACAAATGCATTCACAGTAGAAAAGTTATCCCGCTGCAGCAGCGGGATAAATATCATGTACCCATCCACGCTGCAGCGGGCGATTTTTATTACCTCCGTAACAAACACGTGTATGCATGGCTCATGACCCGCGAGTGACCCCGATATGACCGGAAATACTTCAGCGCGGGGTTTTCGATTGCTTGAAATTGCGCGCGCTAGCTGTACTTTACACACTCTTCCTCATGTAGCTAGCTCGATCATATTACTTTTTAAAAAACTAGCATTTTTATTGCTTCCAGTCAGAATATTTTAATTTTTTGAAGTGTGAAATATTTTTATTTGGATAATTATAATATCTACATAATGATAAAATCAATTTGAATCCACTGGTTACTTTATTTCTATTTCACTTTATGTTCCCCATTGCTGGAGAAAAGAGGTCAGTGATAGGTAAGTAAACAAATCACACGTGTTTGTCGCGGTGTTATAGCGGAGAGCCTTCACACTGAGTAAACATCGCGACAGCAGCGGGACTGTCCCGCTGCTGTAGCTAGGCGAACCTAGCGATAGTTTGTCTCGGCGTTATCGCGAGGCGGTGTTATCCCGCGATAGTTTATAACGGGTCCGAGCCTTCACACTGAAGACAACACCGCGACAGCAGCGGGACAGTCCCGCTGCTGTCGCGGTGTTTGAGGCCACTGTGAATGGGGTATTAGAGACCACCTGTCTACAAAGACCACATTTCTGGTTTCCCTTGAAATGGTTTCTCATTGAAACATGTACTAAATGAACCTGTCTACAAAGACCACTTTTTATGTTTCCCATGGGCGGTCGCTATAGACAGGTTTTACTGTACTGTACCAGCTAACACCAAATTTAGCAAGAAATCTCTCTGCAGTTACACTCACCAAGGATAGGGCTGGGTCTCCATAAAGCGTCTCGTCATCTCTCACGGTTATTGATACCGGTGTTTTCCTGCGACTCTCTCTGTCATGAAAATAAAAAATTTAAAGGTGTTAATATTCACCGGATTTATATTAATTTCAGGGACTATCATTTTTTGGAGGAAAAAATGAACATTTAATTTTTTTTTTTTTTTTTAATTGGGAAAAAATAATAATAATCAGGAAACCAATTTAAATTGTGAAATTATCTCAAGCCTAATAAATATCACCGCCTGAAATGGATACAGAAATTTGCTGAAACAAATTTTGCCCGGGGTAAACAGAAACCATATCAAATACAACTTGTAAAAAGCTATGGCTCACAATAGACCAGATCTAAAACTCATTTAATATGATATGTCCAGAAATGTTACAAACTGATTCAATACATATCAGTATCAAATGGAAATATCTGATAACTATTATTTATTGTCATTACAGTTGATAGTTAGTTAAGTAGCTATAAACATTCTGTTTACTTCATGTACATGTATGTGAAGCAAATTATAAAGATTAAAGAGGCAAGTCCAAACTTTTCCTCCTGTATTTTAAATCATACTTTTTTAGACGCAACACTTTCATTAGATGGGGTTTCTTTCTCAATAAAGCTTCCAAACTCACTTGTTAAGTACAATCTCCATAGGTATTCCTGGTTTGACCACGGCCACCTTGATCCATTCACTTCCGAGGTCAATGGACATTACTGCCAGACCATTGGTCAGCTGAGGATGACCGGCCAATACGGCCAGAGTGACCGCAGACAGCAGTCCAACGATGCTGGACGACTGCATAACTCTGTAGGAGATAAATGTTAAGTCATTTATATAAAGAATTGAAGGGTAATCAAATTTTGATGAAGCAAGATGCTGATTTTGATAAAAGCAAAAAGCTTTTTTAACAATGAGTGATTTCAGAAATGGAATAATCTACCATCTCATGTAGATGAAAAGCCCATCAGTGAACATTTTCAAGACCAATCTCAAGAAATGATCAGAGATGAATCTTAGTCTGACCCCCATGAATTATAATATACATCTGTCCATGTTCTTCAAGAGCAGCGTATAATTCATCTTCATGGTTGCAGATAAGTTTTGAATTACTTTCAGCCCACTTCCAAGGTATGATATGACTAAGAAAAAGCATCAGGGTGGCGTCAGTTTGAAGGGCAATTAATAAGAAAATCAGTCTTATTCTTTTTTTGTCATAATTTATTTAGCAAGCACAAAGATGTTGAAAATTAAGCACAAAACAGTGGTAGAATTTAACAAGAGTCACATGGTTGCCAGGTTAAGAAAGAGATTAACCTCCAGTTCAAATGTCTGAAAGCTGAGCTCACTAAGGCCATTTTTGGGGCCGCCTCCCTTCTTTTTTTTTGGTAAAGAAAATAAACATTAAAAACACCACCAAAATGATCTATTTCTGATTTTAAAAAAATAATTAAATGCCGGCAGTCAACTTGAAAATATAGCCAGACTGTCAGGGAAAAGTACCAAGCGGCCATTTTGAGCGGCCATTTTGAGCGGCCATTTTGAGAAGAAAAAAAGGGCCTCCTTCTTCCTATTTTTCAAAAAGGTATACTTCTGATATTTTAAACTTAAATAGTTATATGATTAGATCATCAAAAACAAAACAAAATCCAAGTCCAGATTAATGAACAAAATTGTTTATAGTTTGGCAAATATTCAAATAGATTAGTCTAGACCTAGATCTAGGACACAAAGGAAAGGAAGAAAGTACAACAAATGTTATTCAAATCACACGTCAGTGCCAAAGTACAAGTACAAATAAAAAGGAAAAAGTGGCTTGACATAGGCCAAACTTCAAACCCAACTGAAAATAACTTCAAAAAAAGTTGGGATCAACATAATGTACATGTTAAATAATTTGAAGACCGTTGATCTAACTTATATGGAGAAAAAAATTGATTTTAGGACGTCACGTATCGATCCAATTAAATTTATGTTTAAGTTTCATAAACATATTAACTGATTAATAACAAACCATGAATAGGTCTATTCATAATTTATTTACTTTTACTTTTAGGCCTAGGGCTAGATCTACAGTTTTATAATCATTTTCTTTTCTTTGTCTTGACATGAAAAGAAATTTAGGATTATAAAAGTTTTGTTGAATTTAAAAATCGGAGGTAAAAATAATGAAATAAAAGCAATTTTCTTACCAGACCGATACAGCTCAGTTCCCTTTTCACGTGTACCGTGTGAATTCACGATCTCTACACAATGGTGATGACCTCTGACTGGCACTTCGTAAATGTGCTGCTTCCGTATAATCACGGAAGTGCCAGTCAGAGGTCATCACCATTGTGTAGAGATCGTGAATTCACACGGTACATGTGAAAAGGGAGCTGAGCAGTATCGGTCTGGTATGAAAATTGCTTTTATTTTATTATTTTTACCTCCGATTTTTAAATTCAGGAGGTAATTAGGACTACAATTACAACAAAATTTATCAAAGCCACTGTCCAATGTTGGTCGGGTGTGGGAAAGTGTGATTTTGGACAAATTTGAGATGTTGTTTACCTACCTCTCCATGGGACCCTATGGGAGCAAATTAAGGCTCCCTCGAATAATATCATGAAAAAACATTTCGAGGGAGTCCTTAAGGCTAATAAAAGTACATAAAAAGTAGATCTAGACCCTCTAAATAAGTAAATAATTGTTAATGGATTTGTCAATGTCACTGTCACTAGTCAGCTTGTTCAACTGTTAGACGTTTGAGTTTGACGTTCGTCTTCAATTCAATTCAGTTTCAACTTTCACAGTTTAAGAAATTCAGTTTCAACTTTCCCAGTTTCAGAAATTCAGTTTTAACAGGTTTTGGAGAACTTGCTTTTCCATTACCGAATTTCGTTTTTTCTACTTTAGATCTAAATTAGATCTAGAACTATAGATCTACTATAATGAATAAACTCTTATCATATACAAGCACTTGCAAACGTTCTTACAAAGGCAAATCGAAACTCGAAAGACATTAATCTGTTAATAGAAAGGGTAACATAAAGTGGAACGTATGGGACTGATCAAGCTACTTGCAAGATTCAATCAAACTCTACACACACACAATCTCATCAGCAAATTTCACTATTTTATTTATAATTCTCATGAGTCAAACTTCACTCACTTACCTTGCAATTTATATCTCGCTTCTAGTGAATCTCAGAGAATGATCAAGTAAAAAACACTATGTTCCCGATTCGCCGGTGTCTCTCTTTTCTCTTTCGCTGTCTCTTTGCTAACACATGTTAAGTGAACGTGTACAAAAAGGTCATGGAGTGACCTCCGCGTATTGCAAAGTGGCGGATTGCTATTGGACATGAAAAGGGCTTGCTAAATCCACGTCATCGCAAACTCAATACTGCATAAATCATGTTTTCCTCGCCAAATTTCATCATTCTTTTTCTTCTTCTTTTTTCATTCTGCAGCAAAATCTACGTAATCAATCTTAACTGAGCATCTCCAATGATTAAAAATGTACGTGATTGATGAGTGGCTAGGCAGATCAAAAAGGGCCAAATAGCCTCACACCTTTTCGAGAGCTAACGAGCCCCAGGGTTTGAGGCGGTGTCGCTATAGATTTACCGTATCGTGTTTCAAAATATTAGTTTACGAGGGAATACTCTGTTAAAATTTAATTTACATGTGTTCATGTATTGATTAAGTCATTCTTGAAATACTAGATTGTCGTTCGTAGAAAACACAATATAAAAAATTCTCATCATACTCATAGTCTAGTCTCAACGCATCGCTAACTCAGTCAGTCAGTCATGTTTCTATTACCTGTGTTTTTCCTTGTGTTCTACTTTGTAATTATGTAAAAGCAGTTCAATGTTGCATATATTCGTCTGTAAATAGTTATGCAGAAATCAAGAAACGCCCTTGTCCGAATGGGAACTTTATAAATATAAAGTCCAATGCTTTTCAAAATCGGATATGATTAAACTGCTATATACCATTATCATTTTTCTTCACATTCATCATCACCATTTAATATTATAATTAGTAAGCGCGTCAATTCATTATCATCATTAATTATTAATCATGATGAGTGTGATGTTGCACTGTAATGTTGTATTGCTGCAGTATTTATCTTTATCTAAGCTGAGAGTTTGGGACGTATGCAGGTAGAATCATAATTTAATGCTCGCGGTGACGTGTCATGTATATATGAGAGATTATTAGATGTGGTTGATTATTTGTTGGTGTGATTCTTACTTTGGTTACATTGCAAGATCTCCTTGGAGATCTGGAAAAATTGCTACAGCCGACGGTATTTCACGTCGTCAGAGCGGGGTATTGGGATAAGTTTTCAACTAGCAATAATCGCGCCTCGGATAAACCTCATTGGCTACGATACTGCCTCTGCGCAAAGATAACGGGGAAGGTTTTGACACAAATTTAATAGAATTCGTATACGCACTAAAAACCAGTGACCGCTTCGTGAAACACCACTCTAAGTTGGCATTGATTGTTCATTATTTTTTACATATTCTGTGTATTTGTTATACTTGAAAGCTTAATTTAATACTAGTTTGAGGACATAATTTTGTATTCTGTGTTTTGTATCCAAATAAAGAGAGATTTAATCAAAATATGATAAGTAAGACTACACATCTGTCGGACAGTGCATCGCACTGTACGCACAGCGTCGGCACGTTCATATGCAAATAAGGTCATGTTTATTCATATACCGCTCCGTGTTCGCTTCGAGTTTTCTGTAGTCAGATGGTCGTAGAGGGACAAAATGAGTGTATTATTCGTCAGAAAATGAATAAAAACGCATGTGGAATAAAAGCAAAAATATCATAGCAACAAATAAAGAGGAAATAACTGGGGGATTAACATTTCAGTTCAAAGTATGTCTATACATATAATGTATTAATCTTACCACAATCATGACAATGGTTTGAGCATAAAAATAACGGTCTGCAATGTAAACAGTCCATCATTCAAACTCGACCCAGTGAGCTTCACTTGCTGACGACTGATGAGCTGCCAATCAAAGATCAGGGGCGCGTGCATGCCGGGGTGATCGTAGCCTCTTGTCGATGCCCTCGCGCTGTTGGAGTCTCTAAATTCTGACGAGCGAAGCGAGTCAGAGAAACCGAGGCGCTCGCGAGTCAGAATTTAGAGACTCCAACAGCGCGAGGGCATCGACAAGAGGCTAGGGTGATCGCCCCCAATGTCCAGTCGTCACTGTATATTTAGGTCCTCTAGGACTAAACACCGCAGTTACTGCCTTGGTCGTAAATCTTCAAAACAATCAGGAGTAACGGTCAAGCGGTCAGAGTTTTCACACAACATAATTATGGTTGACCTTGAGCAGTGATGACAGCTTAACCAGGGACAATGCCCGGGGGGCACTCTCAACATAGCTGGCTACAAAAAAAAAAAAAAGCGTCTACAAAAGGGTGTCTTTTTCAGCTATATGGTATGGCGTCGTCGACTAGTTTTATAATCTTCTTAAAGGGATCGTTTAACAATGTTAAATCTGAGATACACGGCCCTACGTGTTATCAGTGTCTGTGATATGGTGTAATATTGAAGCCCTAAAAAAAATGCGCTTCAAAATGATCAAGAAGTGCCTCAAAAAAGTAAAAATCTTTGAGTGACCGGTTTTACCATACTCGTTTTCCCCAATAGACTGTAGTGTTATGAAAACCGTCAGGCGAACGGTTTTAAAAATTTGTAATTTCAATCATAAATATCTTGATAATCAGACAGGCGATCGGCTTGTAAAAGCCATGGGGTTCCTGACTGACCTAAAGGTTTATAATTAACATTGCATCATGAGCTAAATCCAGAATTTTATTTCAGAATCTGAGACAAAGTTACCGGATCCCTTTAAAGGGACTTTGTAACATTGTTCAGATGAGAGAAAATGGTGCTACTTCAATGCTAAATGTATATTAAAGATAATCTCAAAGTTTGAGTGAAAAAAGACCACCATTATCGATTCCTTAATTCTCCCAACTATACTACAATCTAATGACATTTTGGGTGAATATAAATCGTCACCAAAGCAATGTATTGGCTCTATATACTATTCAAGATAGTATTTTCATGTATTTTCGGGCAAGAGGTCCGTCCTTCCGGCCCCCGAGTAAGAATATGCCCGTATGTCTATGTATACTATAGATTGAAAACAAATCCTCCTTTGATTTTTTTCTGGGTTGGGGTGACAGGAAGTTTATCAAAATCATGAAAGGGTATATATGCGTGACTTTGAAGAGGGGGGGGGGGAGCTGAAAAACGCTGATCTATGAGACTAAAGACCCCCCCCCCCCCCCCACACACACACACTCAGTGACTGCATGAGCCCATGCTATGCCACTGATAACATCGTACCTCATAATACAGAATTTATAGGATCTAGGAAAAATTGACAGACGGGTGCGAAGACAACAGCGGCGAGGGAGGGGCCCAATTCGTGAACAACGACTAAGCCGGCCGGCCGGCCGAATAAGCGGGGGGGGGGGAGGGGGGGGGGGGGGTAGTGAGCACTAATTTTTGTTTGTTTTTATTGTTGTTGGATCAACAGGGGAAGGGTAGACTATTTTTTAACTCAACACCCCCCCCCCCTTTAAGCAAAAAGAAAATACATATTACTTTTTTAAAACATTTTTTAGGCCAGGGGAGTGAGCCCGCTCCTCCCCCCCCCCTGGATCCGCCTCTGTAATGACCACACCACGCAGATACTCGTATAAAACAATCATGTCGATCTATTTTCTCATTCAGCTTTTCAACTCGTGAAATAAGTTGATACAGGGTGGATGTGCGCTGTATAAATATTCCAAATATATTATATGCTTCTAGATTGTTGGATTATAAGCGCCAGCACTTTTGAAGTTACTCTCCCCACCACCCGCCCAACCCCTATCTCATTCTATATCACTCTCTTTCTCTCTCTCTCTCGATCGACCCTACAATGTTAATTACATACCCGGATTCCATAATTTATCAAAATGTCAAAAGTGTTATAAGTTTAAAGCTGCATGTTCATAATTATACCAACTTCCCAGTCTAAATCATCTTTGCATTGTGAAGCGATAACTTATCCACATTATCACTCAGCTTCACTGCTAACATCTGTTTCGTGTCTATTTGGTCACACTTAATCCTGATAAACATAATAGTGTGGTACGGTATGTCACTGAAACAGCTCCCATAGGATTTGTGTGCCAAAGTTGATTTGTGTGCATTTTTGGATTCATTGGGGTCCAAGCTATCAGAAATTGATGGGGTTCAAATTTTCCCGAAGACACCAAATTTCCCTATTGCGCGTTATATATGCCATTTTGGCGCCCAATATGGAACCCCAGGAAATGAAGGAGATGTCTGAAAATTTGAACCCCATCATTTTTGGCCAATTGGGACCCTTTTGAAGCCAAAACAGCAAAAAAAAATCCTAAGGGATTAAATACCATACCGCACTATAAGTATAAGGACTGGTGCTGATTTATTGATTTTACGTTTCGGGCTACTTTATGGCGAGGAATATGCCTATATTTGACCTTTATTCGACTGCACGGTTCAGTACAACAATTCGTCCTTGTTTTCACGAAGTGACGGTAGTGAGGAAAATCGTAACGCAAAGTGAATGATTTTTTTCACTACCGTCACTTCGTGAAAACAGCGACGAATTATTGATCAAGCTGAATGAGAGTAGAAAACAGTTATAACCTGCGAGAGTTTCAATACTTCAAAACGACAGTTATGAAATGCACATAGGGCTATCATTACAAAGGTGTTTTTTTCTTCCAGTTTTGTGATATCAAATCTCATTTAGCTCACCACCGAGATCCGCGCGAATAATTGGTTGATGATCTATAACAGGGCTTTCTATAATAATACCAGTTTTCGCCAATCAGAGAACTGGAAAGATCGACGACCCTTCTAAGCCTTGCAGATCAAAATCCTAATTCAGAGCGCATATTTTGTGCTTAATTTCTTAATTTCGACGTCCTTTTAATGCACTGCCTTGAATGGACGTCACACGTACCAGTCCACGCAAATCTAAAAGTCCCTATTGTTGTCATGCACCACCGCACTATTGGCATTCCGTAAAATTTTAGGGATTCCCCATGACGTAATCAAGCGCACGCCCGCCCGCGCACCCCCGCCCGCTCGCCCGCACGATGTAGGGCGTGGCATTACGGGGTGTAAACCACACATATGCATACCGTAGGTGCATTACTATCCTGGCTGTGTATTAAAAGCTGTGCTATTGATTATCAACATTTCAAACACCACTGTACAAAACTCATCTAATTTTACTCAAAATTGGTACTTTAGTGACGATTGATAACACCTAAATAGCAGTAAAATATTGTTTTTTCAACTTTCCGATGTTAGAAAGAATAATTTAAAAATTCAAATTGTGAGTCCACTGTCAAACTTGCCGATCAACCGCATCGGCATAATTGTGTGCATCTGTGTTATGAGTGTTATGACTATTCATGTATTCAAATGCTGCCTATTAACACGTATTGCAGTGCTAGAAGTCAATACGCATTGACTCTCTATGCTTTGCGGGAGTGGTGTAGGGTCTAAACATGCAATCTCAATGTCGCAGTCATTGCGTCGTATTTTCAGCTAATTTCTCACTATTGACGAGGAATCTAATTGATTTGCATCATCCAAGCCAAGCTGCCCAAGCTGTGCCTGTAGACAGAAATGACACTTTCGTGAAATAGGAAACCATGCACCATTCGCTCCGATCCGCACGTACAGTAGCGCTTCACTGGGTCGTTTATAATTTTGTTTCCTTCTTCGAACTTCCCACCACGCCGGCCCTGGCCCTATAGCTTGTGCATGCGGCCGCACAAACTCGTCGTGCATCGTGAGTGCATGGTTTTCCAAACCACGACATATTATAGGCACTGAACATTACCATCTGATCTGGTAGTGGTAAATATATGGGGAAAACTTTCTTATAACTAACATTTGTCAACCTTCTTTATCTTTTAAGGCTTTATTGTTGACCCATGATTCTCGTATTAAATCATTATTTGTTTTTCTTTACACGTATTTCATTTTTGGTTTACCTTCATTTAATTACCAGAGAATCTAGCTAGGGCCTACAGGGCCATTACTCAAAACTGACATAAGTCTAAGTTCGTGGACGTCCCATTGAAACGTGTGTTATAGAATTAACACGTTTTTATCACGCATTCCTATGGCCAGTATGGATGTCATTGTAGAGTTTTGTACACAAACTTAGACTGATGACGGTTTCGAGCCCCGGCCGGCCGCGCGGCCTGGCCCTGGGCCCTGGAAGAATGCTGTTGATTGTAGTCATGCAAGCTTCCAGTTCCGACTCGTGTATTCATCCTTCTCATATCTTTTAAAGTTTGGTGTCTTTGCTTTGCTTTGTATTGTTTTTTATACCAACGATGCTCTGCTGTCTATATTTCACATTTTTAAAGTTTTTTTTTTAACATTGAGAATGAAAATAAAGACTGAACTAATACTAGTAATAATAGATCAAGTCTCTCATTGTATTCTCGGTGGAACAGCCTTTGATATAAAATACTGAACATTTCGGTCTACCCTAGCGCCTAGCTGTAGCCCAGCTTTTACTGTTGAAAGGAAAATCCAACCTTCATAGACAAATGCTCTGAAAGAAATCAGAAAAAAAAATCAAAAAGTGGATTGGTGGAAAGGAAGAAATTGAACAAAGCATGTAAAAGTTATTGATTTTTTAAAGTTGTAATCACTGTTAGTATGGGCGCAACAAATTGGCTGAATCAGTAAGGTTACTGTGACTGTATAGAGCCTGACAACTTTGCAATTTGTTTCAAAACACAAAATTGCTTGTGAATGTCAACTTTTCCAATGTGTTCTCAGAAGAGTCTTTTCTTTTTGAGAGGACCTATGATGGTGTGCTATCCATGATATATTTTGAGTAGTCCCCCAGTTAAGAATGAGAAGGGGAATAATGATTATTTTACTCACAACGAATGGAAGAGTACGTTGTTCTTGACTTAGTTAAATATGTCATAATCTACTGACAAAATTGCCAATATGAGATTCACACAGACTTAGTGATCTCATATTTCAAACATTCATAAGTCTCTTATTATTGGTCTGATTATGTTTCAACTTTCGCCTATCTGTATGGAAATCATCCAGGTATGTTATTTCTTTATATATATATATATATATATATATATATATATACACCCTATATTCTCCCAATATGACATTTAATTAGCTTAAATTCATTAACATTTTTAAATGTGTATTTTGTCTCTCTGAAGCAGAGATGCCCCCTCCCCTCCCCTTTGAATAAAGTTCAGTATTAAATTGCAAGAATCAAATCAAGAGGCAAATGTTTGGATGGGGGGGGGGGTGAAAAAGGTGAACTTTACACTGTACATGCATGTCACTAATAAAAGACGTTCACTTTGGTAAACAGAATCCCCCTTTATGTCAATTACAGGATGTCTTGCTGGGGATATCATTCATGTACCTTTCCAACGGACTGAGTTTCTGTCGAAAGAGAAGGACGTCTTGCACCATGGATGGATTCTGCCTTCTCTATCTGCTCATGATTCTCCTGAAGAAATCTGGTGATGTTGAAACCAACCCTGGACCAGACAGGTCAGTCTATATGTATTTGAAGCTTATTTCCAGTATTGCAACAGTGAGGAGCAGTAGGGATAATAAAGTACTTTTCTTTTTATCCCCTCGTCGACGAAGTCGGAGGGGATATAGTAATGCTGCCGTCCGTCTTTCCTTCCGTCCGTCCGTAACAAATTTGGTTTCCGATCGATCACTTTTGACAGATTTTAATAAAATTTGATATGAAGGTACACTATATCAAAATACAGGCTAAGTTCGATTTTGGAGTATGTAGGTCAAAGGTCATAGCTCATTAAATATGCGAAAATATACACATCTGGTTTCCGATCGATAACTTTAGTAATGTTTGACGGATTTTAATGAAATTTGATATGAAGGTTCATGGTATCAAAAAACAGCCTAAGTTCAATTTTGGAGTATGTAGGTCAAAGGTCATAGCTCATTAAATATGCGAATCTGGTTTCCATTCGATAACTTGAGTAATGTTTGACAAATTTTAATGAAATTTAATTTGAAGGTACATGGTATAAAAAAAAAGGTACAGCCTAAGTTCAATTTCTGAATATGTAGGTCAAAGGTGAAAGGTCATAGCTCATTAAATATGCAAAAACACCTAGTTATTATATGAAAATGTGGTTAACTTCCTTGCCTAGTAATATAATAGTATAGTCCAATGGAGGTAACTTGTTCTGACGGATTTGTACCCTGCGAGGGGATGCTATGCTTTGCGTCGACTTGTTATTATTCAAAAGCATAACACCCCATACATGTACATGCATGCAAAGTTTTCTTCCATAACTGCTTTGTGAGGTATAGCCTTGTGTGTTTATGCCTCAATATACTTTTAAATACATCTTCTTCGTACATGTAAATGTAGCTTAATAATATCAGGTAGGTATGCGTATGAAACTGCAGGAACTAGTAACAGTGGTCAACTGCAGGAGCTAGTGTACATATTTGAAGTTTATTTTAGAGTACAGTAGTTTATTCTTCCATGTAGTTAGTTGTACAGTCTTTTTGGCCTAAATGGTCATCAGCAACTGAACTAAACTTACTGAGTATGAAGATAGGTAGTGCTGAAATGAATGTACAGTAGGGCTGACAACACAATAAGAGATATTTGATGAAATGTGTTTTTATTACAGGATTGTCAGTGAGGCAGAATTCATAAAGCTGTCTAAGCTAATTGAACCTAGCTACTACAAAGAGGTGGGCGTTAACCTGGAGATTTCCAATGCAGAGCTTGGTCAAATCATCATGCAGCATTTGCAACATACCAATGATGCATTGATGACAGTGTTCACGAGATGGAGAGACAAACAGCCTCCAGGTACAGACATCAGGACTCTTCTTGCAGAGGGATTAGAAAGAAGTGACTTGGGATCTCTCTCTGGTGAACTACTCGCTGGCAGTCTAGTCCCCAAAAGGACAGGTGAGAATAAAAAGCAAATCATGTCGGCTGCCCTCCAAAGGGCCCTTACTGCTATTGCTAATGGGTTGCTCTTGCAGGCAGCCAGCAAACACTGATTTGACACTTTCTCATTTGGTACAAATAGGATTATTTAAAGCAGGACATCCCATTAGATGAACAGCCCACAAGACTGATACTGCCGGTCTGCATGGTGAACCCTCAAAATAGTTATCAGAACCTCCATGAGACTGACATGTCAGTGTAATGGGCTGTCAGTCCATGGGTCGTTGGTCTCATGGGCCTTCTGAAAACTTTTCAGAAAGTTTGCTAGACAGATATTGTGGGTCTTGTGCGCTGTCAGGATCATGGGCTGTGGCCATTAATACATGGTTACAGACCCACCCACTTTGTGCTGCGTAAGGGAGATGATGAAATTAGTTTTACATGAAGCTGTACAAGGATTGTCATTCAAATTTCTTGCATTTCAAGCCCAGCCACTTTCTGACTTCTTTTCTCCAAGTCATGCTCATATTTTGACACCAATTTTATCAAAATTGTACCGTGACACAGTCGTTTTTATCTTTTGTGACCTTATATGTCAGCCCCAAAATGGAGAATTTCTGATTTTTGTATACAAAACAAAATGAAAACTACATTTCTCTCAGTACTTTGTATATCGCGTAGGTAAATTGTTCTTTAGGCTGTAATTCATTGGGTGTATAGGGTTTGTCATTATTGTCCACACTGTGAGCGATGGAAATTAATGATATTTACATATTATATACATGTATGGATACAAAAATAGATATGTACCTGTAAAGACGTTCATACACAAAGACAAATTCTATTGATATACTTTTAAGTTAGAAAAGAAAAAAAACATAGACATGTCAGCATCAACAATAGTATATGGTACGCTCAAAAATGAAGACAGGACTAGGTTTCCGCTTGGTTGTATATGAACTCAACGATATGCCAGTTGAGCTATTTTATTCAACCTGAAAGTAGAATAAAAATAAGCATCCTCAGTATACATGTCTATAACACATAAAATGTACTGAACTAAATCAGTATGCATTTATCCGGTAATGTATAATCAAAAGCCTTAAATAGCATTCATTAAAAGTCTTGACTCTATATCCAAAAACTCTCTAAAAGGCCTAAACCCCCATTAATCTCTACGTCAAAATAACATATCTTGACTGAAATACTGCTTTCATAAAAACCCGAGTAACCAAGGTCCTCAGCCTAGATAAATTCCTAGTCAAGACTACCTTTAAATATATGCTTAATAAATAAATCCCATCTTACTCAAAGTATGTCAAACTTGTCTTTCTTATTTAGACTCATTGAACTTTCATTATAAATTCCCAAAAACCTGACTGTAATTCAGTCTTTTTCTTTCATAACTCTGATTTATCCGACACTTATTTCATATGTCAATACCATACCAATATTTATAATTTGTCAACTAAAACAACCTTAAATCAACCTCTGACTAATGTCATTATAAGTCGGTGATTTAATAAGCACAAAATCCCTCTTTATAAATGTGTGAATTAAACATTAACTAAATACCGCACATACTTTCAATGTAAACGTACACATTACGCTGCACACTTCTATACACATTAACATGCACATTACTAACACATCTTCATACTCGAATGTGACACCAAATAATCATTAATTTCCACCAATTCATTATCATACACTTTATAATATCTTATCCAAGCTTTACTCACTTGTTTTGCGGAAATTGCTAGCGACTCTGAAATACCGTTGCCATTTTCCTAAACCTGGAATTCTGGCCTCTAAATAAGCATCTGAAATGATATGTCAGACCACATCCGTGGAAAAATGTGCTCTGCAACGTATACACTTACTTGACCCTAGAAGTAGGTCAGGGTCAATACGGTATCTTGCAAAAATCTTGGAAAAAACAAATAACTTTCATGTTTCGCTGAAACAGTATACATGTACGATATGTAGAAATTGAACTGCAAAGAAGATAAATTATCATCTGTTCTCATTGAATCTTGGTCCAGAGAACATCTTCAAACAGCGGGACTAAACAAATGTAAAGTTAACAAACAATAAATACATTTGTTCTTATGTTGTTCATGTCTATGTTATGAATATCCTCAAACAAAACATTTTGAGATTCAGGAAAATTGTTACATTTTTGTTTCTAAATGTAAAGGTGCACCTGTTACAATGCCAAGAGCACAGGCCCAACCACTTTCTCCTGACCTGATCAAGAGATGTGCAGATGATTTCAAATCCAAATACCGGACAACTCTCTGTAAGATTAGAGCTGATCCTCTCATCCCAATTTCCGTTGTGCAATTTGACGACATGTACACAAACCTTGTCCTGGCAGAGGAATATCGACAACTCAAGCGACCACTTGAGTACAAGAATCTCTTTGTTCTCAAAGTCAATGGAGAGTTCCCCAACCGGATCATGGTTCAGGGAGAGGCTGGGGCTGGAAAGACAACATTCTGTGCTAAGATTGCCTGGGACTGGATAAATGGCAGTCCTGTTCTCCCAAAGTTTGTATGGGTACTTGTTGTCCCTTTGCGTGAAGCCAAGCAATACACGATCGGTGAGATTGCCAAGTCGTATCTCTCCAAGGACAACCCATCAACAGCCTGCCAGATCACTGAGTACATTCGTTCAAATCCAAAAGATGTATTCATTGCGTTTGATGGATTAGATGAGTTTGATGGCAAGGTTGTACAGGAAGGGGAAGCGGGTTCAGAGTCAGAATGTCACCAGCCAAAGTCTGCTGATCAAACCAAGGCAAGATCAAAATCAAGGATGAACAAGAATGTGTGGCCAAAGTTAATGCAGCCAAAGTCATCGAGCCAAACAAGTGCCACTTACCAGCCAAGAGTCCACAGTGCAGAGGCAAGTGGAAGTTCTCCAGAGAGAGGTGACATTAATATAAGAGACATTCTTCGTTCAGATGAACTTGCTGCTTGTCCGGTATTGGTGACAAGTCGCCCATGGAAGGTCACAGCGATTAGGTGGAATGATAGTCTGAGCAAACAGTACACTTTCATGCATGTGGAAGGTTTTAGCAAGGAGAATGTGGAGGATTACATTCACAAGTACTTTGAAGAAGATGAGGCCACAGCAGATCAGCTTATCCAGCTAATCAAAGACAATGACATCATATCTGAGAATATGGCCCCGTATCCTATCTACATAGCTATGCTCTGTCTTATGTGGAGAGAACTTGGTGACAAAAAACGAGAAAAGTTTAAGTCATTTCAAACCTTTTCTCAAATATTTGATGAAATGTTTGAATTCTTGAAGGTACATTATGCTCAGAAAGAGATCACAGATTTAGGGAGCCCATCATTCAAAGACTATCTCTCTCAAATTGAGAAGCTCATGGAACCAGTTGCCAAAGTTGCTTTCATTGGGCTACAAGAAAAAACGCTAATTTTCAAAGAAGATGATTTTGGACAGTGCTCAGACTCCATGGAAACAGCCTGTAGAGTAGGGGTGTTATCTCAGGAGAAAAAATTGTCATCTAGATATGATAAGAGCAGTCTGTTCCTACAGTCTACTATCTTCTTTCCTCACAAACTCTTTCAGGAGTACATGGCTGGGGTCCATCTTGCTTCCCTGTATGAATTAGATCACAATGAATTCAACAGGCTGATTGAGCAAGTAGTGCTGCCTAGGAAGGAAGAGTTTAGGTATCTCCTGTACTTCACTGTATCACGGGACAAAACCATAGCAAACCATGTCATGAAATGCATGGTACAAGGTGATACCCGAAACCAAAGGGACAGGAATTTCTTGGTTGATGTATCCTTTGAGAGTCAGGACCTAGATACCGCAGCCTTGGTGACAAGTGGAGAGCAATCTGTGTTAAGAATAGACACATATATGAAAGCACACACCGTAGCAGGTTATGCATTCACTGGAATACATTTTGATGTGGTAAGTATACATACATTTACAAGTAAGCACAAATCAATTGTGGATTTATAGACACACATGTTTTATTAATGGAACAATAATATGCATATTTCCCACTCTCTAACATCTATTACCTAGTACATGTACCTGATAATCTGAACTCTAATTAATACTAATGATCTTCTAAAGTGGCCAAACACTTATGATGGTATTGACTTGCTATTGTTTGCCTTCATCCAGATCAGGCAATGTGATACTACTTGGGAAATATAGTTTCACATACCCATCACTGGTATAGGCATATATTTTTTTTATTTTTTGAATAAGTTTTATTAGACTACCAACCCTATTCTGGTCAGAAAATAAGCCATCTTGAAATGGCATTCTGCACAGCAGTTTTGCGGCAACCTTTCCTATTGTTGATTTGATGCTCAAACAGGGTAACCCTTTCCATGGAGGGTCAATTTGGAGGCTCTTTGAAAATGGCCTTTCTTGCCATGCTGCATTACAGACAATATGTTATACAAGACCTTCCTGTGCAAAAAAAAATAGATCATAGCACTACTCTCTAATGATATGGACCACTTTAAAAAAACATTCTGTAAGCTTTCAATGTGACAATTTTGGTGCAGGACCAGTGACAGAAGCATTGACAAAATTCCAGGTGGGGACTATAGCAATGGACTCTGATTTTCTCATGTCATAACTTTGTGTTTATTTTTTGATATTTTGTTGTTTTGTTTTAAGATCATGCTTGAGGTGATTACTAGAGAATGTGGACCAACCATATCACATGATGTGGCGGAGATTATATGCTCTGCTCCCTCTCTAGAGGATGTTTCACTAAGGAGTACATCCTTCCACAGTGACTTCTATGTATTTCTTGATAAAGAAGGAAACAAGTCAAATGTGAGTGAAAATACATATTGCAATGTCTTAGTCTAGACTATTGTGGGGGGGGGGGGGAGCGCTTTTTCAAGATACAGAACATCAATCCTTTGAAAATCTAAGACATCACTGCGATTTTGGTTGGAAATAAAGTTAGGTTGGGTCAGAAATTCATGTTGTCCTCTAGTTGCCCCTTTAGTTGCCATGGCAACTTTCATGGCAAAATAAATATAAAAAGGAGGAATTTTCTCAAATTGACAGATTAAATTTAAGAGGAAATGAAGGTTACGAATGCATTTATTATTTACACGTTTTTGAAATTTCTTTGTACTGCTTGGAAATGGAAATATCGGTACATGTAAATACATGTTATTTGTTACCTTTAAACTCTATGAATTTCATTCTTTAAATGTTTTTACAACATCTCGTGATTATATTCTAACAAATCTTGATAGTTTTATCTTTGCATTATTATACTGTATGGATTTTTTCATATGAAATGTATTCAGGTACTCATAGTGACTGTTGTCATATAATATTTCTTGTATTATTTGTATACTGTATTGCAACTAATGACATAAGTGTTCTTGTTCTTCTTGTCAGGTGGGCTGTATCTAATACAGACCACCTTATAATTTTGTTAAAATCGCCTTTATTTATTTATTTCTTTATTTCTTTATTTTTCTCATTTCCACCCACTTTTTTGTTAGCAAGATAACTTTGTAATGGTTCTATCAAATGCTTTGATATTTGGCACACATATGTATAGGTATATGAACAAAACACGGTAATGTTTTCAACCTTGACCTTGACTGATGACGTCATCTAGGCGCCATTTTGTGAAATTTTCTGAAAATCAACTCATGATCATATCTTCATAACCAAAGGTTATTTCTCCTTTATATTTATCATGATCAAGGTCAATAT